AGGAGACTGCGATCAGAGAGGAGAAGGAAGAATATACAGTGAGAAGAGCTATATTGACAGCGGTCACCGAGAGAGGTGAGAGACGAGGTCACAGAGGCAGAGAGAGCAAAGTGAGAGAGAAGTGATCAAAGAGACAGAAAGATGAGAGGGAGAGCGGGAAGGGTACAGAGAAATGAGTTCTGAGAAAGTGGGGAGGGGTGGTGGGCATCTGAGAGAGAAGCAGGAAGCAGAAAAGAGATCAGGGAGATGAGAGACTAGAGGGCAATTGGAGAAGGGATTTCAAAGCGAGAGGCCAGATCAGAGAAAGTTGAGAGAGAAGAGTGAGTTCAGAGAGGGAGGTGAACAGAGAGAAGAGACGTCAGAGAAGACAGGGAGATGGGAGAGAATAGAGGAAAGTTGGGAAGAGAGAGGAAAGCGGATCAGAGAGAAACAAGAGACAGAGGAGAGGGAGGGGGGAGGGGGGAGAGTGTAGAGAGAAAGATGAGACCAAGGAGAGAAGACAGGAGATGTGGGATAGGAGTGAATTCATGGAGGGAGAGAGAGGAGGGAGAAGAATGAAATCAGAGACAGAGAGACTGCAGAGAGACTAGATGGGAGAGACATCTGAGAGAGGAGAGCAGGGGAAGGTCGGGAAGATGAAAGGGCGATGAGAGATGTGTGAGGAGAGAAGAGGGGGCTCAGAGCTGAGACAGACTAGAGAGGCCACTCACCTGCTTTCTGCTCACCTGCAGCAAGTGGATTTCCTTGTCTCCACAGCGTAGATTTCAGATTTGGGGGTGGCATTCACAGTTCACCATTTTTATTTCAAACTAGGCTGAGACCCAACATTAGAACATTTTCTTGCTTACCTGTCTTTTGTCTCTGAACCTCTTGGGGAGCAAGAGCGGGATATTAAAGGTTTTTTGTTTTTTTTTACCTTTACTCATAATTTTTTATACCCACAGTTCCCTCCCACCCCCAAATCCTTTTTTAACCCAGTTTATCTTTATTGATTTCAGAGAGGAAGGGTGAGGGAGGGAGAAATAGAAACATCAATCACGAGAATCATCCATTGACTGCCTCCTGCACACCCCCTATTGGGGATGGAGTCCACAACCCGGGCTTGTGCCCTCACCTGGAATCCAACCGTGACCTCCTGGTTCATAGGTCGATGCTCAACCACTGAGCCACACCAGCTGGGCCCCCTTCACCTGTTGATACTCTTTCTTGGGTATCCCCCCTGATCCCGCCCCAACCCCGGTCTCCATTGGTCTAACAGCGAGCTGTCCTGCAGCTCCCTCTGGCCCCATGCAGGCTCCTGACATTGCATTAGCCACACGCACTGTCCCGTCCACCCCCCGTGAGCACCCGACTAGCAGGCAGTGTTCCCGTCAGGGTGCAGCCGTGGGAGGCGTGTGGGCTCCTGACCTGTGGGTCTGCAGGCTCTTGCCATGCGGGGAGTCATTTCCTCTCTGGTGCCCTCTGTGTGTGTCCCACGCTCCCCCGCCCCACACTCACACATACACACACGCATTGCCTGGCGCACAGTAGGTGCTCAGTGATCCCCTGGTGGCCGTGGGTGTGCGGCCGGTGGTGTGACAGCAGAGGCTGCCTCGGGGACCGGTGTCCTGTAGGAGGAAGGTTAGCTGAGCTGTGCCCGAGTGAGATATGCAAACACTGAGATGACTGGGCTCAGGGAGACGGGCTGGCTGTGCGCTTGGCGTTAGCAAACGTGGCCAAGCAGCGGCGAGTCCTGCTGTGGCCGTGGACTCGGGTCATTGCCAAGATCGTGCCTTCGGCAGCCTGCCGATCTCCCACTCGCCTTTCTAATCGCCCCAGAGGTTCCTAGAGAGTGTGGGTTACCGCGTTCAACCACTAAACTCAGTTTTCCTTGCAGACGCCTAAGAAGAGTTCCTGGAAGCCTCCCTGCTCTCCGAGAGCTACGCCCCCTCATGCCCGAAGGCCCCCTCATGCCCCTCGCACGCCGCAGACTCCCCTGTGCTCCCCCCAGAGGCGGCAGAAGCCCTGTGCAGCCCGCACACCCGCCAGACAGGGCCTGTTTCAGTCCCCTAAGGACTCCGCGCCCCACGGCCGCCACTCAGCTTCTCTGCTCGGAAGACCCCTGCCCGAAGGTGGCGCCTCTCCCCTGGGAACGAGCCCAAGAACTCCCCGAAGGCCGGGCGGCCAGCCCCTGCGGCTTCTGCAGAGCCCCCCCTGGCTGCCCTCAGTGGCTTCCAGTCCAGAAAGCACCCCGCATCCGGCAGCCTGGGGGGCGCCCAGAGAAGCTGCCTGCGTGGCTACACCTCCGACTCAGAAGCCCCAGCACCCCCACCACCTCGGAGCCTCTTGGGGCGAGGAGCCGGCACAGAGAGGGAGAGTGAACCCTGGTCAAACCCCGACAAGACCAGGGGACATAGCCGAGCCCGCTTCCCCGCTGGCGTCTCCTCTCGCCTCCCCTGCGGGTGGCTTTCCCGAGAGTCCCCCCAGGACAGCCTCGGCCGAGTCCCCTCACCCTGGACAACTGGACGCGAGAGAGCCCCCCAGGACCTCAGGGCGAGCCAAGCCTGACGCCAGCCACAGCCCCCTCCCCGCTCCTGAAGGGGGGACGAGGCTGGGAAACACCTCCAGTCCCGAGAGGGGCTCCCTGGAGGGCCAGCCCCGTCCCTGCACCGCTCCTGCCCACGGCACAGACACCAGGAGGCAGCAGCAGGAGGGGGGCCCCTCTCCGCCCTCTGAAGGGCACGGCGACCCCGGGCCTGGCTGCAGGACCGGCTGGCACACGTCCTCCCCTGTGCTCGCTGCAAGTGACACGGAGCCCCTCCCTGTCCCGGGCGAAGCCGAGGACGGGAACAGCCACAGTGCTCCCCTGGGAGACGGCGAGGGGTTAAGGCCGGCGGTTGCCGGGGAGCAGCCTTCTGACCCTGGGACTCCTCCTCCTGCGCCCCGCTCTCCCCGGACACCCCCTGGCGCCCTGCGCTGTGCGGCCCCGCTCGAGCGCCTGCCAGTGTCCGCTCAGCTGTCGGAGGCCCCTGCCCACCCCCAGGCCTACGAGGTGGAGCTGGACGTGCAGGCTGGGGGGCTGCCCAGGCTTCAAATCAAGAAGGTGGACACCAGCCCGGGGCCAGACGCCGAGCCGCTGAGAAGGGAACCAAGTGTCCCCCCCGGCCTGGCCGTGCCCAGGGGCAGCAAGGCCTCGAGACCCGACACCTACACGTCCCCCCCCTGCCTTCGCCCCGCGCACAGCAGCCCCGGCAAGAACGGCGGACAGACCTACATCTGTCAGTCCTGCACCCCCACCCGCTGCCACTCGAGCACCCCCAGCCCGTTCCAGGCAGACACTGGGGTTCCTTGGACACCATCTCCCAAGCACAGCGGGAAGACAACCCCGGACACGATCAAGGACTGGCCGCGGAGGAAGCGGGCGGTGGACGGCAGCCTGGGCACCCCTGTGGGCAGGGCCGACGCGGGCACAGACCTTGGTGCGGGCGGGTCGCTGCTGCGGCCGGAGGGCACAGAGCTGGACCTGGAGCTTGGCCTCCACAAGACTCGCATCCTGGGGGACTTTGAGCTCGAGGGGGTGTGTCAGCTGCCAGACCAGTCCCCTCCCGGAGCCGGAGATGGGGTGCCAGCCTCCGAGGATGCCTACCCCTGGGGGCCGTCTGGGCGGGGCCCCAGGAAGAGGCTGCTCTCAGCTGAGGACGCCGAGTGTGAAGCCAAGAGAGCCTGTGGCCAGCGGAGAGAGGACCCAGAGCCTCGGGGCGAGGCCAGGTCTCCAGGGCCGGACCTGCAGCAGCTCCCGTCCGCAGGCGACGACGAGCCGTGGGTCTCGGGTGAGTGGTGACCGCGCTGGGCCTGGCTTGGGCTTTGGGGCACCTCGGGCCGTGCTGACCGCCCGCCGTTGCTGTAGGTTCCACGCCCCCTCCCGGCCGTGCGGTGCGCAGCGGCCTCTCTGCCCGCGGGCTCCAGGCCCTGACGCAGTCCCCGCTGCTGTTCCACGGGAAGACGCTCGCCTCGCAGGGCAAGGACGCCCCCGGTAAGTCGTGGGAGGGCCCACACGTGGGGTGGCCTGGGCTGAGCGCAGGGCTGCCGGGCAGCTGCGTTTTGCAGGAGGCGTAGGGACAGTGCCGTGCGCGGTGCCCACCCAGGAAACCCACAGTCCTACCAAACACTTGAGGTTCCTGAAAGCGGTGGCAGGCGGCGCACGGGGCAGTCCCTGGGGGCTGAGCCGTTCCTCCCGTGTCTGCGCGGCCGTGACAGGCCGCCCGCAGCCTCGGAAAGCGCTGAGCCTGTGCTGCAGGTTAGACGGTTCCTCCGCGCTGGTCAGGGGAGCAGGAGGGGCCGTCCGTGGTCCCGCCCCTGAGGCCACGGCAGCCTACGAGACCCCACGGACCTGAGACAAAGCAGAGCCGGTGCAGGCGGGGCGGCGGGGAGTCGGGGAGGCCCAGCCTCTTCTGCGCCCTCAGCTGCCCGTCTGCCTGGCTCTAGATGAGGACTCGGATGTGTTTCCCGCCACGGAGGACTCCCCGTTCAGCCGAGCCTTTTCCAGGACCCGCCCCGTCAGCAGGACGTACTCGCGGAAGAAGCTGATCAGCTAGAAGGGGGCCGGCAGGCCTCTAACCAGACACTACAGAGCTGCCCGGCCCCTCCCTACACACGGCCGCTGCTCCCTGGGCGCGGGAACGCTGTCTGCACGGGGAGCAGGTCCCACAGGTGCCCGTGGGCACCAAGGAGCTGGGGGCTGGGTCCCAGCCTCAACCTCCCAGGCCCTGGGCTGCCCCTGAGGCTGCCTGGGGGGCCGGAGCCAGACGGGCCCTGTCAGGTCAGGAGCCCAGTCCAGGCCCGCGACCCGCGGCCTCCCTTGTCTTGAAGGGAAGGACCCCAGGACAGGCCGGGGCGGCGCTTCCCTTCCCTCCGACAATAAAGTTACCTCTGTACTTGGTGTGGCGTCTGTGAATGTTCCCGCCGGCGCCTCACTGACCTGCCCTGAGCTTCGTGGGCAGCCACGCAGGGGTCTGGCTGTGCCCGAGCCGTCCCCGCACAGGCCTCGCGCCACTGGGGAGACGCACCGCACCGGGTCTCGGAGTCACAGCGTCCCCAGCCTGACTCGCTTCCGAGCTGCTGTGTCCCCAGCTGCTTCCATCACACTCAGCGGGGAACCCCGGTTCTCAAGCCGTTGCTCTCATTTATTATAAAATGGTTTCACAAAATTCTACAAAACGTTCCCCCATTTTCCCAGGTCCGTGTGCCCATCTAGACACGGCCGTCCTGTGGCCGGTGCAGGTCCCGAGCCCGGAACGGGCCAGAGGTGGCCGTGGGCCCCGCAGTTGGAGGGAGGGGGTGGCGGGATCCGCCTTAGAGGCCAGTTCACGCGGCCGGTGGTCATGGTGAGGCGGCCGCACGCGGCACCGTACCTGCCAGGCCGGCCCCAAGGCGCGGCGGGACTACAGCGGGTGCCTCCGCACGTCGATCATGCCCGGGCTGGCCCTCCGCCGCTCCCGCCGGGGCCTCGCCAGGGGCCCGAGGTTCCAGGGCGGCCCCGCCTCCCCCCCAGGGAGCACTCGCCCCAGGGGGGGCTCCGCGGCCTCCGGGGCGCCCTGCTCCTCACCGCCCAGGCTGGAGCGCTTCCACGTCAGCGGGAGCGGGGCGTGCACCAGGTCCCGCACCTCCTCCCGGGCTCGGGGGGCGCCCTCCGCGAGGGGGGGCTGCCAGAGCTCGTCTTCGTTTCCAGGCGGCTGGCGGGTCTCCGGGCACAGGACCTTCTCCCCACCTGTCACGGACGACACCCTCGTCAGAAAGGGGGTGGCAGCCTCTCCTCAGCCCCAGCTCCCGCGCCCAAAATGACCCGGGGGGGGGGGGGGGGCGCGACCCGCCATGGGCAAGGCCCCGAGCGCTCACCCCGGCTCTGGCCCGCGGCGCTGCCCCCGCTCAGCCTCTGCCTCAGCTCCTGGTTCGCCCACACGTGGCGGCCCAGCTCCCGCTCCAGGGCCTGGATCCTGCCCTCGTACTGCCGCCTGCTGTCGGCCAGCCCCTCGCCCAGGTGGTCTGGGGGGACAGAGGGGAGGGTGGCGGGCGGCAGGCGCTGGGGGGCGCGGGGGCGGGGGCGCGGGGCTGGGAGGCGGCCTCACCTCGGCTCTGCTGCAGGAGCAGCTGCACCTTCTGCTCGTGCTCCTTCTGCTGCAGCGTCAGCTGGCGGTCGGTCTCCAGGCGCTGCCGCTCCAGCGCCGCCTCCAGCCAGAACACCAGCCGCTGCTGCTCCTCCAGCTGCATCTCCAGCTCCGAGAAGGCCACCTGCTGCTGGTGCTGCTCCTCGCGCAGCGTCACCACCTGCCGAGGCCGCCGCCCAGGCTCAGATCCAGGCGCCCTCGCCCAGGGGCAGTGCCCACCGCTAACAGATACTGAGAAACCGCAGGCCTCAGCCGCCTCACGGCACTCCAGGCAGTGATTCCCAAGTCAGGAGTGTCACTGGCCGTCCCCACCTCCAACCTTAGGGCTGCAGGGGGCCAGGATTTCCGCCTCCACACGGACATGTGAGCCTGTCCTGTGTGTGGCAGGAAGCTGAGCAGCATCCCTGGCCGCTGCCCCTACTGTTGTGACAAAGCCCCGCAGACACCTGTCCCCTGGGGCCGGCAAACTCATCCCGCTGAGAGCCAGTGACGGGCAAAGGCCACCCTGAAGGTGCCAATCAGGCGGGGAGGGCAGGGGAAGGGAGGGGAGGTGGGGGTGGAGGAGACGGTCTGTCTCACTAAATAGAACAGGCTTTGCAGCGGTTCTCAACCTGTGGGTCGCGACCCCTTTGGTGATCAAACAACCCTTTCACAGGGGTCGCCTAAGACCATCCTGCATATCAGATATTTCCATGACGATTCATCACAGTAGCAACATGACAGTGATGAAGTAGCCACGAAAATAATTTTATGGTTGGGTCCCAACATGAGGAACTGTATTTAAAGGCCAGAAGGTTGAGAACCCCTGCTTTAGAGAGAGAATGAGGCGGCCGGGCTCCGGGCGGAGCGGGCTGGCGCTGCCCCACCTTGTCGAAGTACTTGCAGAGGAGGGCCCTGGTCTCGGAGGACGAGAGGTAGCTGAGCTTGGCCATGAGGTTCATCTCGCACTGCGACAGCAGGGAGGCCGAGGCCCGCAGCACCCGCTGCCGGGAGGTGATGGCCTCGTTCTTGTACTCGATGGCCGCGTCCAGGGCCTCAATGGCCTCGTCCAGCTGGAACAGCGTCCGCTCCTCCTGCGGGGACGTGGCATGCGTGGGGTGGGGGTGACCTCCGGGGTCTTGGCATGCACGGTGGGGGGTTCCCCATTTCCTAAACAACTAAGTCCTAGCACACAGCCACAACTGACCCCTAAGTGTCCCCTTGCCCTGGGCTGTCACAGCCAGACCCTGGGGAGGCTGGGGCTCTGCCTCTGGGGGGCTCTGCACTCGGGGAGCTGGGAGTACCCTACTCTGAGGGAGGGCCTGGCAGGACTCATGCCCACAGGGGAGCTGAGAGGTGGGGCGGCGCAGTGCACGCAGGATTCGGAGTCCGGTGCAGATGGAGGGAACGAAGAGCGGCAGCCCCGGCCCGTGTCCCCGACCAGGGCTAGAGCAGGGCCGTCCGGTCCAAGCTCCAGCCCCACCCTGTGGGCCAGGCCGGCGTACCTCGGGCGACAGCAGGCCGCCCTGCCGCAGCTTGCCGTCGATCTCCAGGCGCTGCTTCAGCAGCGAGTCCTTCTCCTGGCGCAGGGCGTCGATCTCCCCGCGAATCTGCTGCTGGCTCTGGGCGCTGCCCTGGCGCAGCTGCCCACTCTTCTCCGACAGCTCCCGCTCCAGGTGCTCCAGCCGGCTGGACACGCGCACGATGTCCTCGGTCAGGGCCTGGGCGGCACCGGGCGTCAGGGGAGGGGCCACCTGTCGGATGCTAAGCAGGCCTCTCGGTCCTGCAGAAGCTGGACTGGGGGCGGGGGCAGGGTTGGGGGCGGGGGGGGGGGGGCAGAGACGGCCGGGAGGGTGCGGACAAGCGGAGGCTGAGGCCCTCCTGACGGGGACACATGGACCAAGGCAGAGCGGGGTGGGGGGTGGCCCCTCACTGAGGTGACTTGAGTTTGTGATGGGAATTATGGGAAATTAGGGGCCAAACCCCAAAGGCCTTTCCGGGAGCCTGAAGTGGGAGGAAGCGAGGGCTCGAAGGACCACAGGACACGGATAACCCAGCAGCACCCTGGGCCCTGCACCCGCTGCTGGGACAGGCTCGGGGCTCTGCGTCTGACACCCCTCAAATCCCACGGCAACGTGAAGGGGGCCCAGGAACATCCTACTCCCCCAGGGAACCAGGAAGCCCGGGGGCCAGGGCGCTGCCTCCTTGGGCCCCTCACCACCCACCCTGTCTACCTGCTGCTCCTTCTGCCTGGGCAGTCCCCGAGCCGGGGTTACAAAGGGGGAACAGCCCAGGGCGGTTTGGCTCAGTGGATAGAGCGTCGGCCTGTAGACTGAAGGGTCCCGGGTTCAATTCTGGTCAAGGGCACATGCCCAGGTTGTGGGCTCGATCCCTAGCAGGGGTCATGCAGGAGGCAGCCAACCAATGATTCTCATCCTTGCTATTTCTCTCTCTCTCCCTCCCTCTCCCTTCTTCTCTGAAATCAATTTAAAAAAATATTGTTTAAAAAAGGCCCCAACCGGTTTGGCTCAGTGGATAGAGTCAGCCTGCAGAATGAAGGGTCCCAGGTTCGATTCCGGTCAAGGGCATGTACCTTGGTTGCGGGCACATCCCCAATAGGGAGTGTGCAGGAGGCAGCTGATTGATGTTTCTCTCTCATTGATGTTTGTAACTCTCTATCCCTCTCCCTTCCTCTCTGTAAAAAAATCAATAAAATATAAATATTTTTTAAAAAGTTAAAAAAAGAAAAAGGAGGGGAACAAATTGTGGGGAGGGTACTTGGAGAGGTTCCACCCTGGCAGCAGAACCTGCAGGATCCGTAGGCTTATACAGCCCAGCAGGGCGGGTCCCACCTGCCCGGACTCAGGGGCGGCCCCCACCTGCCCGGACTCAGGGGCGGCCCCCACCTGCCCGGACTCAGGGGCGGCCCCCACCTGGCTGGACCGCAGGCGCTTGCTCTCCAGCCCCGTCTTCTCCTGCACCAGGGCCTCCTTCTTGGCCAGGATGGCCTCCCGCTTGCGCAGCTCCTCCCCCAGCTCCTCCAGCGCCCGCCGCTGCTGCAGCACCTTCTCCATCTCCTGGTCCAGCCACTTCTTCTGCTCCTCGATCTTCTGAGGGGGATGGAGGGGGCGGGGCGGGCGCTCAGCGCTCACGCCTGCTGTGCGGGCAGCACCCACTCCCCAGGTGCGGCTGTGGGTGCCCGGCGCCCACCTGCTGCTGCTCCAGGGTGAACACCGAGCCGCTGCTGCCGCTGCGCCGCTTCCTCTGGAACGCCGCGATCTCCTCGGTCTTGATGCGCAGGATCTTCTGCTGCTGCTCGTGCTTCAGCTCCAGCTCCTGCGGTGCGCAGGGGAGAGGCTGGGGGCGCGCAGGGAAGGGGCTGGGGCACGCAGGGAAGGGGCTGGGGTGCACAGGGGAGGGACTCGGGGAGCGCAGGGGAGGGGCTGGGGGCGCGCAGGGGAGGGGCTGGGGGCGCACAGGGGAGGGGCTGGGGGCGCACAGGGGAGAGACTCGGGGAGCGCAGGGGAGGGGCTGGGGGCGCGCAGGGGAGAGACTCGGGGACCGCAGGGGAGGGGCTGGGCGCCGCAGGGGAGGGGCTGGAGGGCCTCAGGGGAGAGACTCAGGGTCCACAGGGGAGAGACTCGGGTGTACAGGAGCACGCGCGGGGGGCCGGAGGGGGGCACAGATGGGGCGCACAGGGGAGGGGCTGGGGAGAGGGCGGGGCCAGCTTCTGGCCGGAGCCTAGGTGCGCCTGCCCCTCCGGACTCAGCCCTGCACAGCCCCCCCCTCCCCCCCCCCCCCCCCCCCGGCCCCACACCCCCGGCCCCATGTCGCTGGGACCAGCGCACGAAGCAAACACTGGCAGGGCTCCTACAAGGTGAGGTGCCCGCCGCCTACAGGGCTGGTGACCCTGGCCTTGACTTTCCTGTAACCCCCCCTCCCCCCCGTTTCCAGGGAGAGACCCTCGGGAGGGCCGACCTTGACGCGGTGCTGCCGCTTGCTCATCTCCGTCTCCAGGCGCCGCTTCTGCTCCGTCTCCTCGCGCAGCCGCCGCTGCAGCTGGCCCTGCTGCTGCCGCATGAGCTGCACGTTGCGCTCCAGCTCCCGCAGCCGCTTCTCGCTCTGGGCCGACAGCGACGCCAGCCGCTCGGTCGCCTGCTTCTTCTCCCTCAGCACCTGCGCCCAGCACAGCCTCCGTGGGCCGAGCGCCCCGCTCAACAGGGGGCAGGACCCAGGGAGAGGAGCGGGCGGAGGGACAGACAGACAGACGGGAAAGCGGGAGGATGGGCCCAGCCGGTGTGGCTCAGTGGATAGAGCAACGGCCTGCCGACTGAAGGGTCCTGGGTTCGATTCCCGTCAAGGGCACATGGCTGGGTTGTTTGACCAAGGACACACAGCGAGAAACTGGCAGAGCTGGCATTCAAACCCAAACCCCTCCCAGAGCCCGTGCAACTTGACGGCTCTACTGATGGTGTCCTGGCCGCCCGACTGAGCAAAGAAGGAATGAAGGGTGGATGGACAGCTGCAAAGACAGAGGGACTGCAGGATGGATGGACAGAAAGGTGGATGGGACGGATCATGGAAAGATGAAAACCAGGATGCAGGGATGGATGGAAGGGAACAGAAAGAGGGAAAGGTGAAGGGGTAAATGGACGGTTAGTCACATCAGCTGATAAGCACGGATTAGAGCAGGCATGTCAAACTCGTGGCCCGCGGGCCGCATGTGGCCCACAATGAGTATTTTTGCAGCACAGCCAATGTATGTAAGAAATGATGTGCCGAAACCGGTTTGGCTCAGTGGATAGAGCATCGGCCTGCGGACTGAAAGGTCCCAGGTTCGATTCCGGTTAAGGGCATGTACCTGGGTTGCGGGCACATCCCCAGTGGGAGATGTGCAGGAGGCAGCTGATCGATGTTTCTCTCTCATCGATGTTTCTAACTCTCTATCTCTCTCCCTTCCTCTCTGTAAAAAATCAATAAAATATATTTAAAAAAAAAAAAAAAAAAAAAAAAAAAGAAATGATGTAATAAAAATTTCGCAACTTAATTTTCACAATATCCTGTTTTACATAATTTTTAATGACGACCTACCCTAATGACTGGTTACTATTATCATGTTGCATTCATTTCCCTAACGCGCCTTACGCACAGGCGCACCATTCCTCTCCACTAATACCGGCAGCGAATATTTTAGCCGCCGATGGCCACGTCATTAGTCCTGGACGGCCGTGCTTGGTGGGCGCCACAGGAAATGTTTCGCTCTCGGAGAACAAGAAAAACAGGTTTATTTGCCTGACGCTTATTCAATTGTGCAGTTATTCAGCGTCTGATTAGCTAATGTTCAAGAAAAATATTAATTTTTATTAAAATGTTCTATTGTATGTGACCGATGACTCGTTTATCTCAGCGTGTCTCTTTGCGTTCAGCGTGTCTCTATCGAAATAAACCCACATTTCTATGAACACGGAAGCTTCTGTTGTTTTGTGGCCACATCCACGCAAACCTTGTTTATTGGGCCCGTGTGAGCCTGTGAGTTTGACATGCTTGGATTAGAGGGCCGCAGGCTGCGGGGGGACAGAGGGACGCAGGCTGCGGGGGGACAGAGGGAAGATGGGCGGAGAGGAAAGGGAATGGGAGCTGGAAGGACAGACGGACGGACGAGGGCAGGGGGGGAGGCTGCATGAGGAGGGTCCATGTTCTTCCCACACCCACGGCTCACCCTCCGGGTGGGGGGGTGGGGTGTCAGCAGGACCTGCCTCCCCTCCTTGGCTCTGCCTAAGGCTGAGCCCACCCCTGGCGCTGCGGCCCCGACACAACACCAGCCTCAGCCTGGGGGCCCGCAGGGCGTCCGCACCGCAGCCCAGGACCCGCACGCGGCCTGGGCCCCACCGCTGCCCCCCGGGTCCCACACGGACCTGCACCTGGCTCTGGGCGGCGGCCACCCGCCGGCGGAACTCCTGCAGCCGCGACCGCTCGCCCGCGTCCTGGGGCTCCCGGCCCTCCAGCTCCCGCAGCTGCCGCTGCCCCTCGCTCAGCTCGGCCCGCACCCGCTCGGCCTCCTGCTCCAGCTCCCGGATGCGCTGGCTGTGCTGGCGGTTCAGGGCCTGGGCCGCCTTCCCTGGGGAGGGGCGGGGGGGGCGGTCAGCACGGGCGCCCGTCCCCCACCGGACCGTCCGCTGGGTCCCCTGGGAGGCTCCCCCGACCCGTCAGCCACGGACACACACCCGGGGGTTTGCCCAGCCTTTGATCCACCAAAACCATGATCTACTCAGGATTTCGCTTTACACTGACTCACCTTTAATTTTTTTTTTTAAATATATTTTATTGATTTCCCACAGAGAGGAAGGGAGAGAGATAGAGAGCCAGAAACATCGATGAGAGAGAAACATCGATCAGCTGCCTCCTGCACACCCCCCACTGGGGATGTGCCCGCAACCCAGGTACATGCCCTTGACCGGAATCGAACCCGGGACCCTTCAGTCCGCAGGCCAACGCTCTATCCACTGAGCCAAACCGGTTTCGGCAAACCTTTAATTTTTTAAAAATATTTTTTTATTGATTTCAGAGAGGAAGGGAGAGAGAGAGAGAGAGAGAGAAACCTCAATGATAAGAGAGAATCACTGATCGGCTGCCTCCTGCACGCCCCCTACTGGGGATGGAGCCCGCAACCCAGGCATGTGCCAGGACGGGAATTGAACCGTGACCTCCCGGTTCATAGGTCCGCGCTCAACCACTGAGCCACACCAGCCCGGCTCGACTCACCTTTTAAATCAGCCTCATCCATAACAGTGACCCCGGGACACTGGATGAACTAGCATTTTTGGCAAAAACGTGCTAAAATGAATACACACCGGAGCCTGCACACACTTAAGCCTCTAAAACGAACTTCATGGGCAGGGAGCGTGGAGGATGAAGGGCAGGGCAGGTGACACCACGGGGCAGCAATCGCATCCCCGGGATATTGGGGTTGGCAGCACCCCACAGCGCGGCTGAGGGGTGAGAGGAAGGGAACGCCGGAGGCCCGACCAGCGGACGGGACGCGGGGAGCACATCTGGAGCCGGAGCCAAGCTGCCAGCGAGCGGCACACGGACGAGGCTGAACGAGGGAGACGTGTGCTTACGCCCCGGACACCGAGGCCACGGCTCTGAACGAGGTGCGAATGGCACTCGGTTTGGAAAAAAGAAAACGTCCCCCAAAAAGCTGAAAGCTGTGGCCCGAGGTGACACGTCTGGGGTTGGCTTCGCGGTATTTCGGGGGATGACGTCAGCATGGCAGCGGAGTGAGAAGACTCCAGGGACTACCCCTGAAATTTATTTTATTTTATAAAATGTATTTGTATTGATTTCAGAGAGGGAGGGAGAGGGAGAGAGAGAAAGAAACATCAGTGATGAGGGAGAATCATTGATCGGCTGCCTCCTGCACGCCCCTCACTGGGGATCGAGCCGGTAACCTGGGCACGTGCCCTGACCGGGAATTGAACCCAGGACCTCCTGGTTCATAGGTCAATGCTCAACCACTGAGCCACACCGGCCGGGCTCGCCCTTAAATTTACAAGTTGGACAACTAGAGCTCAATGAAGGACCCTCTGTTCAACACACGAGCGTGCCCGACACATCCCTGCGCTGGGACGTGGGAAGGTGGGCGTTGGGAACCAGCAGTGGGAGCGGGAGACACCAGGCCGCGCCCTCACACCACCGCCTGGAGCCGAAGTCGGGCAGAGCAGTTTCCCCAGAGAAAAGGCATCGCCCTTCCCGCCTCCCATCTCCCCTCACAAGGGAAAGGAAAAAAACACGCCTCTATCCGCCCAAAGCACAACACAGGTTCCCAGCAATCCCTAAAGCTCCAGTCACAAACACCCCCCCCGCCCCCGTGGCGTTTTTCAAAGAAACAGAACCAAGAATCCACAAATTCATATGGAACCACATGAGACCCGGAATAGCCAAAAAAAAAACCCTGGAAAAGAGAAGAAATGAGCCCGGCAGGTGTGGCTCAGTGGTTGAGCATCGACCTACGAACCAGGAGGTCATGGTTGGATTCTCGGTCGGGGCACATGCCCAGGCTGCGGGCTCCATCCTGTGTGGGGTGTGCAGGAGGCAGCCGATCAATGATTCTCTCTCATCATTGATGTTTGTATCTCTCTTTCTCTCTCCCTTCCTCTCTGAAGTCAATAAAAATATATTTAAAAAAAGAAGAAGAAAGTGAAGTTATTAAACTCCTGACTTCAAACTACACTACAAAGTTATAGTCATTGAAACAGCATGGCATGGCAGAGAAACAGGCACACAGACCAACGGGACAGAACTGAGAGTCCGGGGGAAACCCACGTGGATACGGGCAACTGGTTTCCCATGAAGGAGTCAAATCATGCAATGGGGCAAGCGAGGCATCTTCAGCAAACAGTGCTGGGAAACCTGGGAAACCGCCCACAAAGGCATGAAGCCAGTCGGCGTCCGACACCACACACATGTGCGCGCACATGGAGACCAGACGTGTTCAAAGAGGGAGGGCTGTGGTAGGTGTGAAAGTTTCTTTTTCATAAACGTAATGGGAACGACACACACAAAAACCAACACTGAGACACAGAGCTTAAAAAAAGAGGAAACAGGAGAGAAGTGTGGAATACCACCCAGCAGAAACAGGCGGGAACACACAGGAAAAGAACCGACGCAGCCCGGCCAGCGTGGCTCAGTGGTTGAGCGTTGACCAATGAGCCAGGAGGTCACGATTCCATCCCCGGTCAGGACACATGCCGGGGTTGCGGGCTCGATCCCCAGTGGAGGGTGTGCAGGAGACCGTTGATCAAGGATTCTCTCTCCTCATTGATGTTTCTATCCCCATTCCCTTTTCCCTCCCTCTCTGAAATCAATAAATCCTATATAATAAAAGGCTAATATGCTAATTGTCCCCTGCACCAGGAATTCGACCAGGGGTTGCGGGTGGCCGGTCAACCTCCTGTGTCCTCTCCCCAGCGCTGGCCTGGCCCGATTGGCCCCAATCCGAACGGGGTGGGCCAGCCAGACCCCGGCCGTGCACGAATTCATGCACTGGGCCTCTAGTATGTATATAAAACAAAACACAAACAAACAAACAAAAAGAACCAATGGAGGCACCAAGCTTCCGGAAAACAAAGGATAAATTGGGCATAGCAAGTCCTCATAATCACTAATTACTCTAACTGTAAATGAACAATTCACCATAAAGAGGCAGAGAGTAGCAGATTGGATCAAAAAACAAAACCCAACCATACGCTGCCTACAAGAGACGCCTCTCAGCTGCAAAGACGAAGGCAGAGACAAATTGGAAGGGTGGGAAACGATTTCCTAAGCCAGGGGTGGGGAACGTCCGGCCCGCGGGCCGGATAAGGCTCCAGATATCATTTGGTCTGGCCCTGCCCAGGCATTAGGGACGAGTTAATTAAATGTTTGACCGAGTAGAGCAGGCTAATTTTTAAGTTGATAATTCTGTATGGCCCACAAACGATGTTATAAACAGCCAAACGGCCCTTGGGAAAAAAGGTCTCCCACCCCTGCTATAAGCAAATAACATCCACAGGAAAGTAGGTGTAGCCATACTCATATCTGACAAAATGGATTTCAAGACAACAGGGGGCAAAGATGAATATCCTATCTAATAAAAGAGAAACATGGTAATTGGCGTACGACCGCTACCCTTCCCATTGGCTAATCAGTGAGATATGCAAATTAACTGCCAGCCAAGATGGCGGCCGGCAGCCAGGCAGCTTGAAACTAACATGAGGCTTGCTTGCTTCAGTGACGGAGGAAACCAACGTTCCCCGCCTGCCTTGCCAGCCTCTGAGCCTGCAGTTTAAGAAACACTGTAACAAATATAGAAGCTAAACAAAAACCCAGAAACCTGCTTTCAGAGAGCCCGGGATCTCAGAGCTGGAGTTATACATTGTTTCGATTATAGAACCTAAATAAATCAGATACCTGCTTTCAGCAGCGGAGGCCTAAGAGCTGGAGCCTCAGAGCTAAAGGTGGCCCAGAATAAAAAAAAAGAAAAAAAGGAGCAGTTGGGAGCTTCAGTCAGCCTGAAAACAGCCCTCAGCCCCTCACCCAGGCTGGCCAGGCACCCCAGTGGGGACCCCCACCCTGAAGGGTGTGTGACCAGCTGCAAACAGCCATCATCCCCTCACCCAGGCTGGCCAGGCACCCCAGTGGGGACCCCCACCCTGATCCAGGACACCCTTTAGGGCAAACCAGCCAGCCCCCACACGTGCACCAGGCCTCTACCCTATATAGTAAAAGGGTAATATGCCTCCCAGCACCGGGATCAGCGTGACAGGGGGCAGCGCCCCAACCCCCTGATTGGCCCTGCTCTGTGCGTGACAGGGGGTGGTGCCACAACCTCCCCATCCACCCTGCCTTGAGTGTGACAGGGGGCGGTGCCCCAACCCCCCAATCGGCCCTACCCTGAGCGTGACTGAGGGTGGCATCGCAACCTCCCAATCCACCCTGCTCTGTGCATGACAGAGGGCGGTGCCCCAACTTCCCAATCGGCCCTGCTCTGAGCCCGACCAGGGGCTGCACCTAGGGATTGGGCCTGCCCTCTGCCACCCGGGAGCAGGCCTAAGCCAGCAGGGTGTTATCTCCCGAGGGGTCCCAGACTGCGAGAGGGCACAGGCCGGGCTGAGGGGTCCCCCTTCCCCCCCCAAGTGCACAAATTTTTGTGCACCGGGCCTCTAGTCTATTTATATAAAAGGCTTATATGCAAAGTGTCCCCTCCGGAGTTTAACCGAGAGACAGGGAGTTTAGTCACTCGCTATGACGTGTGCTGACCACCAGGGGGAGGCACGGAACGAAGGAAGGCCCCGGCCGGCAGCCGGCAGCTGGGGAAGGAAGGCCCTGATCACTGGCCAGGCCTAGGGACCCTACCTGTGCACGAATTTCGTGCACTGGGCCTCTAGTTTTATAGCGATAACAGGGACACTACAGCAAGAAAACGTAACACTTCTTAACATATATGCATCCCACCAGGGAGCATGGAATATATGAAAAACTACTCACAGAACCAAAGGGAGAAACAGATCAAGACACAATCATAGCTGGGGACCTTAACACTCCACTGGCAGCTCTACACAGATGATCCAAACAGAAAACCAGTAAGGAAATATCAGCCTTTGATGACACCTTCAATCAGCCTCCATTACACCAAATGGACATACAGTGTGGCCTTGACTTACGAGTGTCCCGACTAACGAGTTTTTCGAGATACGAGCCGTCTCTCGGCCGATTTTTTGCTTTGAGTTGCGAGCTAAAATTCGGGTTACGAGCCAGCTTCAGACACCCCACCGCTAGTTGGCGCAGCAAACGTCACAGTGAACGCCACAACATCAGCCCAGCATCGCGTGTCTCACTCGTTCACAATGGATTTGACATACGAGTAATTTGAGTTATGAGCTCCGTCACGGAACGGATTAAACTCGTAAGTCAAGGCCCCACTGTACTTGACGTTTACAGAACCTCGCATCCCAGAACGTCAGATTATACCTTCTTCTCCAGCACACATGGGACATTCGCAAGGACAGACCATATGCTGGGTCACAAACTAACGTCCACAAATTCAAGAAGATTGAAATTATACCTTGAGCCCTAGCCGGTTTGGCTCAGCGGATAGAGCACTGATTCCGGTCAAGGGCACATGCCTGGGTTGTGGGCTGATCCCCAGTGTGGGGCGTGCAGGAGGCAGCCGATCCATGATTCTCTCTCATCATTGATGTGTCTATCTCTCTCCCCCTCTCCCTTCCTCTCTGAAATCAATAAAAATATATTTAAAAAAAAAGAAATTATACCTTGAAATTAAAAATGAGCCATAGCTGGTTTGGCTCAGTATCAGCCTGTGGACTGAAGGGTCCTGGGTTCGATTCTGGTCAAGGGCACATGCCCGGGTTGCGGGCTCGATCCCCAGTGGGGGGCGTGCAGGAGGCAGCTGATCAATGATACTCTCTCATCATTGATGTTTCTATCTATCTCTCCCTCTTCCTTACTCTCTGAAATCAATAAAAATATATTTTAAAAAATAATAAAAAATAAAAACAAAATGCAAAAAGGAAGTAAAGAAACCCACAAATATGTGGAGATTAAACTCCATACGACTAAGAAGTGATCGGATCAGCCGAAACCGGTTTGGCTCAGTGGATAGAGCGTCAGCCTGCGGACTGAGGGGTCCCGGGTTCGATTCCGGTCAAGGGCATGTACCTGTGCTCGCTTCGGCAGCACATATACTAAAAGGGCATGTACCTGGGTTGCGGGCACCTCCCCAGTAGGAGATGTGCAGGAGGCAGCTGATGGATGTTTCTCTCTCATCGATGTTTCTGGCTCTCTATCTCTCTCCCTTCCTCTCTGTAAAAAATCAATAAAATATATTTTTTTTAAAAAAAGAAGTGATCGGATCAAAGAAGAAAAAAAAGGTGAGATCAAAAGGTCTACAGAGACACATGAGCAGGACAACACAACATAGCAAAACCTCTGGGATGCAGCAAAAGCAGCCATAAGGGGAAGGTTTGTATCATTACAGGCTTATCTCAAGAAACAAAAGAAATCCCAAGGTAAGAACCAGCATTACATCTTAAAGAACTAGAAAAAGAAGAACAGTAGCAACCCAACGTCGGCAGAAGACAGGAAATCATAAAAACTAGAGAATTGTGTGAGAGAACAAAAGGACGATAGAAAACATTAATACAACACAGAGCTGGTTCTTTGAAAAGATGAATAAAATTGACAAACCCCTGGTTAGACTCACTGGGAAAAAGAGAAAAGATTCATATAAACAAAAGCAGAAATAAACACGTTGCCACAGACATTACAGATATACATCATATAAGAACACCAGGGCAGACGAGATGCCACCAAATTCAGTGACCTAGAAGAAGTAGATACATTCTTTGAATCGTGAAGAACTGGAAAATCTAAATAGACCGATCAGCAGTGAGGAAATCATAAAAAACAACACATCAAAAAACATCCCAAAGCCCAGCCAATGTGGCTCAGTGGTTGAGCGTCAGTCAACCCATGAACCAGGAAGTCACGGTTCGATTCCTGGTCAGGGCACACGCCCGGGTTGTGGGCTCGATCCCCAGTAGGGGGCATGCAGGAGGCAGCGATCAATGATTCTCTCTCATTATTGACACAGAGCAGATTAGCATGGCCCCTGTGCAAGGGTGACACACAAATCTGCGAAGTGTTCCATCTATAATAATAAAAGCATAATATGCTAATTAGACCGGGCATCCTTCCGGACGTCCTTCCTTCCAAAGCCGTGGCGGGCAGGGGCCAAGGCAGAGGTGGCCACCGCGGCAGCGGGGGCCAAGGCCCTTGCACAAATTTCGTGCATCAGGCCTCTAGTATTTTAGAATTAACATCATTAAAATGCCCATACTACCCAAAGCAATCTACAGATTCAACTCAGCCCCTATTAAATACCAACGGCATATTTCAAGACCTAGAATATTACAAATACTTCTATGGAACCAAGGACCCCGAATAGTTGCAGCAATCTTGAGAAAGAAGAACAAGGTTGGAGGGATCACAATACCGGGTATGAAACTATATAACAAAGCCATTATAATCAAAACAGCCTGGTACTGGCACAAGAACAGGCATGTAGATCCATGGAACAGAACAGAGACCCCAGAAATCCACCCACGCCAAGAGGGTCAATTAGTATTTGACAAAGGAGGCAAGACCATACAATGGAGTCAAGACAGTCTCTTCAATTCATGGCGCTGGGAAAATTGGACAGATTATGCAAAAAAATGCAACTACACCACCAACTGACACCATACACAAGAATAAACTCACAATGGATAAGAGAGTTCAATATAAGTCATGAAACCATAAAAATCCTAGAATAAAACATAAGCAGTAAAATCTCAGGCATCTTATGTAGCCGTCTTTTCACCAATACATTGCCTAGGGCAGTGGTCGGCAAACTGCGGCTCGCGAGCCACATGCGGCTCTTTGGCCCCTTGACTGTGGCTCTTCCTAAGCCTTAGGAGTACCCTAATGAAGTTAATCACAATGTACCTACCTATATAGTTTCAGTTTAAAAAATCTGGCTCTCCAAAGAAATTTCAATCGTCGTGCTGTTGATATTTGGCTCTGTTGACTAGTGAGTTTGCCGACCACTGGCCCAGGGCCAGAAAAACAAAGGAAAAGATAAACAAATGGGACCACGTCAAACTAAAAAGCTTCTGCAAAAGAAACCATCGACAAAATGAAAGGGAGACCTCCCCTGTTCGAGGGCACACATCCACCAGTGACACATCTGATAAGGGGTGAACTTTTGAAAATACAAAAAGAACTCATACAACTCAACACCAGGAAGACAACCCAATTACAAATGGGCAAAGGAGCCCTGGCTGGGGTGGCTCAGTGGATAGAGCACTGGCCTGCGGACTGAAGGGTCCTGGGTTCGACTCCGGTCAAGTGCACATGCCCCGGTTGTGGGCTCGAGGGGGCATGCAGGAGGCAGCCGATCAATGATTCTCTCTCATCAGTGATGTTTCTAGCTCTCCCTCTCCCTTCTTCTCTGAAATCAATAAAAATATATATTTTAAAAATTCAACCGGTCACCACCTAAAGTCACCCCCTATCCTGTCACACACATCACCAGCAGACACAGCACGATTTGGGGATGCTGTGCCCGTGACGCGACCGACCGAGAGCTGTGTGCCCGCCCAGGCAGCGCCCGCACACAGCAGGCACTTGATAAATCACAACACGTAACGCTTCCTGGGAAGCAGTCTGAGCCCTTTGCCTGAATTAACTCATTTCATCCTCAGAACAAACCTAGAAGCAGGTGCAACTGCCGCTCCCATTTCAGGAAGGAAAACGGCGGCACAGAGAGGTTACTCCACTTGCTCGAGGCCACACAGCCGCAGAGGCTGAGCCGGGCATCACGCCGCCAGCGCCCGCCACTCACCGGTGCGGACCAGCTCGCCGATGAGCTCCTCCTTCATGCGGATGTTGATGGCCAGTTCCCGGATCTTCTGCTGGGCCTGGGCCAGCCGCCACTCAGAGGCCGCGGCCGCGGGGGCCTGGGCCTTGCCCCCCTGGACCACTGGACAAGGCCAGCTGTCAAGGCTGAGGCCCCAAGGACAGAGTGGGGAGACAGGGGGTAGAGGGGAGGAAGGGGGTGGAGGAAGAGGCAGCAGGTTGGAGGGGAGACAGGGGGATGGAGGGGAGAGGCAGGGGGGTGGAGGGGAGGCAGCGGATGAAGGGGAGAGGCGGGGGGGATTGAGAAAGACAAGGGGGTGGAGGGGAGCGGCAGGAGGGTGGAAGGGGGAGGCAGGGGTTGGAAGGGAGAGGTAGGGGTTGGGGGAGAGGCAGGGGGTGGAAGGGAGAGGCAGGGGGTGGAGGAGGCAGACAGGGGGGTGGAGGGAGGAGTCTGGGGGAGGAGGGGAGAGGCCAGGGGGTGGAGGGGGGAGTCTGGGGGTGGAGGGGAGAGGCAGGGGGGTGGAGGGGAGAGGCAGGGGGGTGGAGGAGGCAGGCAGGGGGTGGAGGAGGAGGAAGCTTGTCAGGGCAGCTAGGGTTGGTGTGGACTGTCCAGGGTGGCCAGTGAGGACCAGGGAGGAAGGAGGGGTCGGGTCCTCTCTGTGTCCCACCGAGCTCACCTCTGGGCTCGGGGACGGCTGCACCCAGCTCCTCAAGGTGAAGCTCCGGGCCCTTCCTGCTCGGGGGGCTCCCTGGGCCGGCCTCCACCCGCTGGCTGCACTTGCTAATCCCGTTTCTGGGGGGCAGAGCAGATGCCTGTACCCCTCCCCAGCCCCCGCCCCCACCTGGCCACCTCCCAGGCCAGAGGCAGGAAGACAGGTCGCTGCCTTCCACCCCATCATCGCTGGCACCTGTCCGTCCAGCAGATCCCGGGGCCGGGGCCAAGCTGAGGGGTGCAGGGGAGGAAGGGGCGCCCAGGACTTTCCCACCGGCAAGCGCTTGGCTCAGAGCCCACAGCTCCCGTCTGCTCCCTCGAGGGCTGGCAGGGGCGAGGCGGGTGAGGGCACCGAGACCACAGGTCCTCTTCGGCCGCAATGGGGCCACTCACCGGCGCAGGGGCAAGGTCCTCCGGGGCGGCTCTCTCTCCTCCCCCTCCTCCTCCTCCTCCTCTCCTTCTGATGCAGCAGAAGAGCCACTGTCCAGCCCATCGTCCTCTTCCAGCAGCTTGGCTCCCGCCGCCCTGCCCTCCGGCACCTGCCAGGGGCACCGGGGTTTCAGGCCAGGAAGCCTCCCGGGCGCCCTCTAGGGGCCGTTCCCGGCACCAAGTCTCTGCGTCCGCCTAGCCCAGGGGTCGGCAAACTCATGAGTCAACAGAGGCAAATATCAACAGTACGACGATTGAAATTTCTTTTGAGAGCCACATTTTTTAAACTGAAACTATATAGGTAGGTACATTGTTATTAACTTAATTAGGGTGCTCCTAAGCCGGCCTTTGCTAAAAACGTCCTCAATCCGATGGAGGTGTGTTCGCTGAGGTCGACCCCTTCCAACTCTCCCATCCACACGCGTCTTGTATACTTGTTCGTCTGTCTCCTTCCGTCCATCCTCTCTGTGTGTCCACACCATCTCCACATGCCTTTCTCCATCCTCGACACTACCTCTTCTTTCACTCCACAACGTTCCCTAAAATTAACTTCATAAACTTTACTTAAGGTTTTAAGTCAACTTCGCCCTGTATGTGCGCGCCCGCACGTGGTATTTTGTGGAAGAGCCACACTCAAGGGGCCAAAGAGCCGCATGTGGCTCGCGAGCCACGGTTTGCCGACCACTGGCTTATGCCATGCCCTGCCCTGCCCTGGGCGCCCACCCTCACCTCCAAGACCCAGCTCAGTGACGCCTGGGGGAGCCAGAATGGGAGCCGCCCCCCCTGCACCTCCCCCGCCCCTGCCCCCAAAGCACCCAGAACGCCCAGGTCACGTGACCATTTCTCTCTGGTACACAGGTCACCTGCATCCGAGTCTCATCTTGCCAACCTCGCCGGCCAGAGTGGAGGCTGCGTGACAGGCCTCTGCCGACCCCCCGCCCCACCCCCCCTCCCCAGGCCCTCGGGGCTGCAGGGCCAGAGGACCCCGAGCTTTCGGGCAGATGCAGCCTGTGTCCAAAAGGCCCCACGTGACAGAACCAGAAGCAGAGACCCGGTTCAGGGGAAAGGAAACTTGCAAAGAGAGGGGGCGGCCTCACAGGTGATGAGCTCCCCGTCCCTGGAGGTGTGCACGCTTCCCATCCAGCGCTGGAAGCCAGAACCCCCTCTGCAAGCTCCAAGCAGCCCCAGATACACTGGAGATTCCCAGCAGCATCACCCCCCCACCCCCCTCCCACCCACCCCCTGCCCATGGCTCTGGGGTTGAGCGTCAACCTATGAACCAGAAGGACACAGTTCTATTCCCAGTCAGGGCACATGCCCATGTTTGGAGCTCAGTCCCCAGTAGGGGGCGTGCAGGAGGCAGCCGATCCATGATTCTCATCATTGATGTTGCTCTCTCCCCCTCTCCCTTCCAATCTGAAATCAATATATATATTTATTGATTCCAGAGTGGAAATCAATAAATCAATATATATTTTAATAGCACCACCTCTCTGAGAGGGCCCCGTCACCCAATCTTGGCCCTTCCTCTACGGACACGAGAAGGGGCACCCACAGCTGCTCCCATGAAAGCCTGGGGTGAGGGGCACACTGTCCAGCACTGCCCAGTCCAACAGGCCCAGCGGGCACGGGTCTCGCCACCTCCTCACCTCTCCCCAGTGCTCGGGGCCAACTTCATCTCCAGGAAGGCACGCGGGGGGCACCATGCCCAGCACGTGGGCGTGGGCACCCGCCAGGGGGGCTGTGTGAGGCCGGGGCACAAAGGACCCCGGAGGCAGGCCCTGCAGGAGCCCTGGGCCCCCCCAGCCTGGCCGCACCAGCTCCAGCCGCAGACGCAGCTCCTCCATCTCCTCCTGCTGCTCCCGCAGCCGGTCGCTCTGCAAGACAAGGTCCAGGTGCTGAGGGGGGACGTGGGGGGGGCTGTGCGGCAGCGATGCCGACAGGAAGAAGTGCAGGCCACCTCATGGTCATCCCCCTATCTCCCTCCCTCCCCCTCTCTCTCTCTCTCACACACACACACACACACACACACACACTGCACTAGTTCAGGCTCAAGCTCTCACCCCACCCTGCCTGCCCTCCACGTCCATGCCAGTCATCGCCACCAGAGGGCGCCAGGAGCAACGCTGACCGGCTACCTTGGGACAAAAGGAAGGACCCGTCTGGCTCCAATGCCCCATCCTGCCCCCCCCCCCCCGCCCCCACCCACCCGCACTGCTCCTCGCCCGCACGCTTGTGCTCATCTGTGCCTGCCCCCACCTCTGCCCGCCGCCAGAACCCACCCACCCCGGCTGGTTTCCTCTCCTCTGGGGAAACCGAGGCAGCCCACCTGCAGCTTGTACTGCTCCATGGCGTCCTCCAGGGCGGCCAGGAAGTCTCGGTTCTCCTCCTCCAGGCGGGCCACCTGGCTCTGCAGGGCCAGCAGCGCCCCCTCATCGTCCTGTGGGGCAGGGAGCCGGGGTTCAGGGCCAGGGGCTGGCAGGGCGAGCCTGTCTGTCCTTGGGACCCAGGGTGTTCCATCGACCCCGCCAGGGTTCCCCCAGCCCAGCGCTACTCTGCTCCCACGGGGTTCTCCCAGCCCAGCGCTACTCTGCTCCCACGGGGTTCTCCCAGCCCCAGCGCTGCTCTGCTCCCACGGGGTTCCCCCAGCCCCAGCGCTGCTCTGCTCCCACGGGGTTCCCCCAGCCCAGCCCTACTCTGCTCCCACGGGGTTCCCCCAGCCCCAGCGCTGTTCCCACGGGGTTCCCCCAGCCCAGCACTGCTCTGCTCGAACGGGGTTCTCCCAGCCCAGCGCTACCGTTCCCACAGGGTCCCCCCAGCCCAGCACTGCTCTGCTCCCATGGGGTCCCCCAGCCCAGCGCTGCTCTGCTCCCACGGGGTTCTCCCAGCCCCAGCGCTGCTCTGCTCCCACGGGGTTCCCCCAGCCCAGCGCTGCTCTGCTCCCACGGGGTTCCCCCAGCCCCAGCGCTGCTCTGCTCCCACGGGGTTCTCCCAGCCCCAGCGCTGCTCTGCTCCCACGGGGTTCCCCCAGCCCAGCGCTGCTCTGCTCCCACGGGGTTCCCCCAGCCCAGCGCTGCTCTGCTCCCACGGGGTTCTCCCAGCCCCAGCGCTGCTCTGCTCCAAGTCCTACCTGCATCCTCTCTGCAAGCCATTTGGGCCACCTCTTGTAATAACCAATCCTTCTTTAAATTAGCAATGAGAACATCGCCACTATTATTACAACTTGCTGAGCCTTCACTGCCTGCTGGGCCCGTGTTACACCCTCAGCCCTTACATCCCCCCCAGGAGGTAATGCCAATGTCACCCCTACTTTACAGACGGAGCGCCCGAGGCCCAGCGGGAGACCTTATGGTACGTGGCCACGGTCACCAGCAGCCGCGCCTTTGAATGGAATTGACGGGGCAGGGGCACTGCTGTCTGACCTCCGGCCCCTTCCCGCCCCTCCCCAGGCCACACCCGGCCCTCGGCCACCTTTCTGCCACCCGGTCCCTGCGTGGCCTGCTCCTCGGGGGCGGCGGAGGCGCTCTCGATGCCGCTGTCCGGCCCGGAGGCGGAGCTCAGGGCGCTGCGCTCGCCCTCGACGGCGCACAGCCAGTCCCGCACCTTGCGGGCGGCGGCGCAGGGCAGCCCGGGCTCGGCCTGCAGCTCGCGCAGGAGGCTGTAGGCGGCGTCGGTGCGGGCCCGGTAGCGCGCGCACTCGGCGCCCAGGCGGGCTGCGGCCACGGCGGGGGCGGCGGGGGGGCCCGGGCCCCGCCGGCCCCGGTGGATGATGCGCGTCTCGGAGCGGTGCCGCGGGGGACCCCGCGCCCCGGCCGCCTCCTCGGGCGCCCGCTCGGGCTCGGGCCGCCAGTTGACGGTGGCGCGGTTGCAGATGTTCTGCGCGCGGCTGGCGTAGTTGAGGGTGTTGAGGGTCTCGTCGAAGTCGCAGGACGAGGGGCTGACGCAGGCGATCATCACCGTCTTGGCGTTCCCGCCCAGCGAGTCTTTGAGGATCCTGAGGGCGCCGGAGGGGCGCGTCAGGGACCCCGGGGCGCCAGGATCGGGGTCCCAACCCCCCATCAGACCTGAGGCTCGGGCTGCATGGTGCGCGCCCCCTTCCCCCGCGCTCACCGGGTGATCTTGGAGTCCCGGTAGGGGATGTGGCTGCCGCGCCGCTGCGGGTCGCCCAGCGCGCTGATGACGTTGCCGAGGGCCAGGAGGCTGCTGTTGATCTGGATGCTCTCCTTGAGCCGCTCGCCGGTGCTGCCCGTCTTCAGCACCCGCTCGGAGCCCGCCAGGTCCACGAAGCGGAACTTGGAGACGAGCAGCTGGGCGGCGGCGGGGCGCGGCAGGCGGCTGGGGGCGCGCCCCCGCTGCTCCAGGGTCACGGTGAAGACCGTGTGCGATCGGCTGGACAGGCGGTTGAGGTGCGTGGCCCCCGTGTGCCGCGCCGCGTTGCCCATCTCCAGGACGCTCAGCACCTCGTCCAGGCCCTCCACGTCCACCTCCTTCACCCCACACAGCACTGCGGGCGCACGGGGCCGTGAGCGCAGGGCAGGGGCGCCCCTCCAGCCCTCCCCGACCCAGGGGCCCCCCTCCCCCATGCCCCGGGCTCCTGCCCATCTTGGTTTGGGCTGGGGGGCTCCAGCTTCCCCCATGCCCATCTCAAAGCTGGTGCAGACAGAGGAAACCACAGCGGAACTTTCCAGAGCGTGGGTTTCCCCTCCAGCCAGGCGCCCCCTCCCAGCCAGGGCCCCGGGGGTTCCTCACCGACGTTCCCACGCTCGTCCTCGCGGAGCTGGATGTCGCGGCTGGCGGTGCCCACCTCCAGCAGGTCCCGGAACTCCTCCTTGTACACTTCCAGGTAGGACACGTGCACCAGACAGTCCAGCAGGTCGTTCTCATCGATGAGCTTGAAGGCCTCGGCCATGACCCGCGGGATGATGCCCTGCTGGTCCTCGTGGAGGGAGGCTGGGGAGACACGCGGGGCCTCCTGCCACGTGCCGCCAGCTGGGTCTCCGAGGCCTCCCGTGCGCCCCCCCCAGCAGCTGGAGGATGGGGCTCCAGGTGGAGAAGGCAGCAGCCGGAGCCAGGCCGAGCGCCAGGGTGGTCAGGCAGAACCATAAAACTTCAGAGTTGGAAGCTACCTCTCAGGGGTGAGCCAACCCCTTTCCTGATATAAGCACCGCCCCCTACATTCCTGCCAGGTCACCAGACACCCTTGCTTGATTACCCCCTGGGACAGGGAGCTCATTACCACAGTCTATGCTCAGTTACCTAAAGTACCTCCTACATTTATCCCAAAGTAATAAGAGGGTGTTCAGAGCAGCACTCGTCTTCATAACTTAAAAAATAAATAAATAAAGCAAACATCCTAAGCATCCATTTCAAGATCCATAGGGGCTCTGGTTACATAAATTACCTTACCTTATAGTCACAATGGAATGCCAGGCAGCCATGAAAAAAATCAGATTGAAAAATACTTAATGATGTAAAGACCTGTTCATGATATTTGTGAAGAAAATAAAACAGGATGTCAAAGATTGGGTACAACGTAATGCTGTTTTCTTTAAAAGGATAGACAATTCCGCAGAGAAAGAAACTGGAACCCTAACAGGATGCATGATTTCTGAAAGGCAGTTTTATTTCTGTGTGTTTTTCTGAATTTTCCTAAATTTTTTATGACAAACATATACTTACATAACCGAAGAGAAAACATTTGTACGACCTAAAATGGGCAGTTCCGGCCCTGGCTGGTTTGGCTCAGGGGATAGAGCGCCAGCCTGCGGACTGAAGGGTCCCAGGTTGGATTCCGGTCAAGGGCACATGCCCAGGTTGTGGGCTCGATCCCCAGTAGGGGGCGTGCAGGAGGCAGCCGATGAATGATTCTCTCTCATCATTGATGTCTTTCTCTCTCTCTCCCTCTCCCTTCCTCTCTGAAATCAATCAAAATATAGATTTAAAATGGGGCCCTAACCGGTTTGGCTCAGTGGATAGAGCATCGGCCTGTGGACCAAAGGGTCCCGGGTTCGATTCCAGTCAAGGGCATGTACCTTGGTTTCGGGCACATCCCCAGTCGGGAGTGTGCAGGAAGGAGGCAGCTGATCGATGTTTCTCTCTCATCGATGTTTCTAACTCTCTATCCCTCCCCCTTCCTCTCTGTAAAAAATCAATAAAATATATTTGAAAAAAAAACGGGGCAGTTCCCTTCATTGGCCTGAAGTATCTCTCCCCAAATCTGCTCTAGCTCCTCCTGGAACCAGCCGGGGCCCGGCTACGAGGCAGCCAGAGTGTGTCTCTCCCAGGACAGTCCCCACCCCGGCCACCCGACCGGCACATGGACTCCTCACCCTCACCAGCCAGCCGGACACCCTGCAGAGACAGGCCAGCTCCCCCTGCGGCCCCAGAACCAGACGGCCTGGCCCCATCTCTATGGAGGGGAGAAGGCCACTGGCCTCCCAGGCCCATCGGCCTCGCCCTGCCCAGCCCCCCACACAGCTGGCCCCACCCTGGGCTGCAGACCTGCTCAGGACATTGCTCTCCCTCCCCAGGCCCTACCTCCAACAGGGAGCAGCAGCAAGAGGCAGGGGACCCAACGCGGGAGCCACTGAGCGCCCCCCGCCGCCTCCCACAGGCAGGCCACTCACCCACACTGGCCTCCCCCATGGTGTAGGTCTTCCCGGAGCCCGTCTGACCGTAGGCGAAGACGGTGGCATTGAAGCCCTCGAAGAAGGCCTCCAGCAGGGGCTGCACGCAGGCCTGGTACACGGCCTCCTGCCCGGCGGCCTCGTCCAGCACCACGTGGAAGCCGAAGCTGCGGTCCCGGCCCAGGGTCACCCGGCCGCGCTCCGGCTCCACCCGCAGGCAGCTCTGGTGCCCGTGCAGCAGCTCCTTGGGCAGCAGCGGGCGGACTCGCAGGGCCACCCTCACGGGGGCCGCCTCGGCCCCCGGCAGCCTCTGGGCCTCCAGCCCCATGGTGAGGGCGGGCTGCTCCAGGGGCCCTGTGGAGAGAAAGAGGCCCCCAGTCAGCACCTGTGCCCCAGGGGCTGGGCTCCCCCTGCAGGGGACCTGAGCCAGACCCTGCAGCTCCTCACCTGGGAGGGATGGAGGGGACGGAGGTCAAAGTTCAGAGCATCCTCTGTGCCCCAGCCTGGGGCCCAAATGCTGCCAGGGCCACATGCACCCCCACACAGCATGTCCCGGCTCTCATCACTGTAAGCAAGGCCCGAACTCCGCCACCTGCCCCCAAGCGCCTGTGTTCGAGCGGCACCTTCCCCTGTGCCCACCTCCTAGGAAGCACACACAACACGCACACGCACACACATGCACACACAACGTGCACACGCACACACACGCACACACACACACGACACACGCACACTGAGGTGTCCAGTCTCTGCCTTGTCACATCACACCCCCTGCCCCACCTTCTTCAAAAGTCAACAGATCTTGCCCGGCCGGTGTGGCTCAGTGGTTGAGCATCCACCTATGAACCAGGAGGTCACGGTTCGATTCCCATTCAGGGTACATGCCCGGGTTGTAGGCTCGATCCCCAGTTCGGGGCGTGCAGGAGGCAGCCGATCAGTGATTCTCTCATCATTGATGTTTCTCTCTCTCTTTCTCCTTCTCCCTTCCTGTCTGACATGAATAAAAATATACTTTAAAAAAGAAATAAACAATTATCACAATAAAAGTGATGTGAATGTAGCCCCTTGTTCGTTTTAGGGGGGCCCTGGCCGAAGTCCTCGCAGAAGCTCGATGCTTTATGCCCAGCACGCTGCCGTCAGTGGGAAGGTCAGTGGGAAGGTGCTTTCTGTCCGGGTCTCCCACCCACACACGTCATGCCTTTTCCACCGTAACCAACACCCATCACACGCGAGGGCCATAACTTCTGCAGTTTGAGGCGCGACAGCAAAGTTCTTTTTCCTCCACAATTTCACGGAAGATTCGATCTTACTGCAGATCTTCCCAGCCCAGTATTCAGACACGTTGTCCCTGTCCTGGTGAAGCAGGTAATTCCCCTGTTCACTGCACGGAACACGTCCCTCCCGGCTTCTCCCGGCCAGATCCGAATGGCCAGCATCGCTGGGGGCCACTGTTAAGTAAAGTGAGGGAGACCTGAACGCAGCCTGACACTGGCTCTGGGGGGAGCGGCTGCCCCGTGTGGGCAATCTGCCACTTCACTGCGCCTCACAGGTGTTGCTTGCTTTTTTATTTCAATTTTTTGTTGTTAATCCTCACCCGAATATATGTTTCCGTTGATTTTTAGAGAGAATGGAAGAGAGAGGGAAAGACAGAGAGAGACATCAATGTGAGAAACACATCCATTGGCTGCCTCCTGAACGTGCCCCAACCAGGGTCCGGGCCGAGGAGAAGCCTGCAACCAAGGTCCGTGCCCTTGACCGGAATCGAACCCGGGACCTTTCAGTCCGCAGGCCATCGCGCTATCCACTGAGGCACAGGTGTTGCATTTTTTACAAACTCATTCCCTTCCAGGGCAGGAAGAAGACATCGCGAGATTTCATCGCACTACTCGGCACACATTAAAACTTATGAATTATTTCTGGAATTTTCCATTTAATAGTTGCGTCCACAGTTAACCGGGGTTAGGTGAAATCGTGGAAAGTGAAACCATAGCTAGAGTGGGGGCCGTGACCGTATTCTCTGGTTCACCTGCGTCTCCTCAGCCTGTGCCAAAGTCCCGGCCGCTGGTGGCCTGACAGGGTGACCTTTGCCAGGCCCTAGGGCAGTGGTTCTCAACCTTCCTAATGCCGCGACCCTTTCATACAGTTCCTCATGTTGTGGTGACCCCCAACCATAAAACTGTTTTCGTTGCTACTTCATCACTGTCATGTTGTCACTGTGATGAATCGTCATGTAAATATCTGATAGGCAGGATGGTCTTAGGCGACCCCTGTGAAAGGGTCATTCGACCCCCAAAGGGGTCGTGACCCACAGGTTGAGAACCGCTGCCCTAGGGGGTGTGTCCCTGCTCCTCCTACAGGGCAACTGGGGCATCTTTCAAAAATGCAAACTCTTGCCCTAGCCTGTTTGGCTCAGTGGATAGAGCATCAGCCTGCGAACTGAAAGGTCCCAGGTTCGATTCCGGTCAAGGGCACAAGCCCAGGTTGTGGGCTCGATCCCCAGTGGGGGACTTGCAGGAGGCAGCCGGTCCATGATTCTCTCTCATCATTAATGTTTCCATCTCTCTCTCCCTCTTCCTTCCTCTCTGAAATCAATAAAAATATATATATTTTTTAAAAATGCAAATTCTTGCCCAGCCGGTGTGGCTCAGTGGTTGAGCATCGACCTATGAACCAGGAGGTCGAGGTATGATTCCTGATCGAGCCCAGGCTTCAGGCTCAATCCCCAGTTGGGGGCGTGCAGAAGGCAGCCGATCCATGATTCTCTCTCATCACTGATGTTTCTATCACCCTCTCCCTTCCTCTCTGAAATCAATAAAAAATATGTATATTAAAAAAAAAAATGCAAACACCATCTTAAACCGGCAGGTAAAGAAGCAGCTGGGAGGCAGGGACCCCGGACTGCTGCCCAATAGGGACGCATAACATTTATCCAAGGAACTTCCCCATCGTCCACCTCCCTCATCACAGTCCTCCCCCGCCCGCCGGCCCCTGACTCACTTTATTGATCACAGGTGTACCTCCTTTATTGGGCTTTGCTTTACTGCACTTCACAGGTGTTGCTTTTTCTTTCTTTTTTTTAATTTTATTTACAAACCGAAGGCAAGGCCTTCCCCCAGCCAAGATCACAGCGGCTTCACCGCACGCACAGCTCACGCGGCGGTGATGCGGGGGGAGGTGAGCCTCCTGCGCCGCCAGGCACAGAAATACACCGCACACAGGACCGCACCGTCCTGGTCACGATTAACGCCTACGTGACGCTTTGTTCATTCACTAGCTGTACTTTTCATCGTTTCTACTTATGTTTTTTCAAAAAGTTGGCTGTGAAATAGTCCCGCGTCTCCTGATTGAACCCTTTTCTCCCGTGTTTGGTTTTACCTCATTTTTGCTTTTTTGGGGGGTTTTTTGTCAATCCTCACCCCCCAAGGCTATTTTCCCATTGATTTTTAGAGAGAGTGGAAGGGAGCGGGAGAGCCAGAGAGGAACATCGATGTGAGAGAGACACGTCCACTGGCTGCCTCCTGAACTAGGACCTGGGAACCTGCAACCGAGGCCCTTGACCGGAATCGAACCCGGGGCCCTTCAGTTCGCAGGCGGACGCTCTACCCACTGAGCCACACCGGCCAGGGCTTATCTCGTGTTCTGTTCCGTGTCACGCTGTGCAGGCCCGTGGCCCAGGCTGCGTGCACCCATCCAGGGGTGCGGTGCGCCCCGTGCGGTTGGCGCGCCTACTATCATCCACTTCTCTCAGCGCCGGTAACGGTTTTTGTTCACGAAACCATTCCGTCCCCGCGGGGTGTCCGGCGCCGGGGACACAGCGGTCCCCGCCCCGCTCACCCTGAACTTTTCCAGCCCCTGGCGCTCCCGCTTCTCCGCGCCCCAAAGGCTCCCAGAACCGTGCGCCGGGGGCGGGCGGGAGCGCGCAGGGGGCGGGCGCCGGGGAAGTTCGGAAAAGCGGTCAGAGATGCAGAGGCGACCCTCGCAGCCGGGCGCCCCCTCCCCGCGGCCAGGCCCGGGGTGTCGGCCTCCGGCCCCGGACGTAAGGAAGGGGGGGCCGCGCGCCCCGGTAAGAGCCCTCCGGAGGCTGGTCAGCCAGGATGGGCTCCCCAGGGTGGCGGCTCCCAGGGCGCCCCGCCGGCCTGCGCAGGGGGCGACCGCGCCTCCCGCCCGCCCCGTCCTCGCCCTGCACCCCCCTCCCGGCCCCCACTCACCGGCAGGGGTGCAGCCAGCCTCCGAGCCCTAACGCCGCGCGCTCTGATGCCGTCACCACGACCCCCGCCCCCTAAATAATCCCGCCTTCCCCCCCGCAACCCCGCCCGCCCGGGCTCGTGGGGGCTGAGGCGCTGGCGGGGCGGCGCCGCCAAGTCTGTCCGCAGGCGAGACGGGGGGCGGGGCGATGGGGCGAGGGGCGGGGTTGTGGGCGTGACCTCAGTTGGTATGGGCGTGGTGTCTGGGCGGGGCCACGTCTAGGGGCGGGGCCACGTGTCCCTGGTACCTCGACGCCGCCGGGGAGTCACCGGTGTTGCTCCCTGATCCCAGCACAGACTCATCAAACTCTGGGGACACAGCGACCCGAGAAGCCGGCCTGATGGCCAGTTGTAACGCGTAAGATGGCGAAAATTAACTAGGGGCCTCCCCCCGCGCGATGGAGGGCGGATTTCCCAGCTTCGTTTGTTGATTCAGGTGTAGACCTGCCCTCCTCCCACCGCCGCATCCCCCTCTCTGCACGCCCCGCCCCCGCAAGGCTCTCCCTCCCCGGGCGCCGGGAGCCTCCACCTCCCTTTTCTCCTCGGATTTCACGACTCTTCTAAGGCTGAGAGGATTCAGCCCCCATGACTTTCAGGGTTGGGCTGGGGGCGCGCTTCTCCCGGGGGGGTCGGGACCCTGGCTGCACCAGGAAGTCATCGCTGTGCCCCTTCTCTGCCCCAGACCCGGGGTGGCCACGCATGAAGCCACCGGGATGAGGTCTGACCCCTGAGTCGGCCACCCCCCAGGGCAGGCGCTGACAAGGCCTGGCCCACGGCTCTGGCTGGAAAGGACCCCACCTGCACCCCTCCACCCGCCTTTGGAAAGGGCATGGGATCCATGGGCCCATTGGTAGATTCCACTGCCAGCAGAGTCGACTTCCTGGGGGGACCACTGCCCCCAGGAGAGGCCACTGGGGGGTGAAGGTTGCTATGGAGATCTTAGCCCACCCACCTACCCAGGCTATTCTGTGGGAAAAGGTCCGCGGGAGCCTTTCAGAGGAGTTCATCCTACACCTGCCTGGGCAGGTGCTATCCAGGTGCTCCCTCCCACCCCGTCACTCGAACATCCTAGACCAGTGGTTCTCAACCTTGGCTGCACATTAGAATCACCTGGGAATCTTTTTTAAAATCCTGATTCCTGGGCCTCATCCTCCGGAAATTCTGTTTCTTTGTTACTCCTGTTGTGGCCCCACCCCATAACAAAGAAACAGAATTTCCGGAGGATGAGGCCCAGAAATCAGGATTTTAAAAAGATTCCCAGGTGATTCTAATGTGCAGCCAAGGTTGAGAACCACTGTTCTAGACACTCTTCTCATATGCACCCCCAAGCCCTGATTTGCCTCCCACAGTAGCTTCCAGTCCAGGCAAGTGTCTTTGCAAACCCCACAGCCTCTCACCCTCGCCCCACTGTCTCTGGCCTGGGTGGGTGCAGAGCCTCCTGGCTGGTCTCCTCCTGCCCCTGTAATACAGGCAAAAAAAAAAAAAAAGCCCTGGCCGGTTTGGCCCAGTGGATAGAGCATCGGCCTGCGGACCTGGTTCAATTCCAGGTCAGGGCACAGGCCTGGGTTGTGGGCTCGATCCCCAGATTCTCTCTCATCATTGAGGTTCCTATCTCTCTCTCCCTCGCCCTTCCTCTCTGATATCAAGAAAAACATATTTTTTTAAAAGTCAGAATAAAAACTGAGCTCTGATTAGTAGCAACATTTAATTCATTTTGGATACAGGAGATTTCTACAGAGAGGCTGTCAAAATTGCCAAGACTCTGGCTGCATCTGCATAAGGAAATCCTCAGCCTCAAGGAACAGAAGTCACTACATGAAGCGGGTTGAATTAAGTCACCTGACACCTCGGCGAAGAGAGAGACCAGAGGAGGCAGCAGGCTGAGACGGGGACGCTGTGACAGAGCACCTGGCCTTTCCATGTCTCCTCCGCCATCACCTTCAGACAGAAAACACCCGGGAAGGAAGGGAGCGAGCACTTAATTATCTGTGCAGCTGCAGATGGAAATAATAAGAACAGAGTCTGGTTTGGAAGCCTACTTAGCAGTAGCTAACAATTTCAAAACATAGATACCCTTCCGCTCAGCCGGCGTGGCTCAGTGGTTGAGCGTCAAGCTATGAACCAAGAGGTCACAGTTTGATTCCCGGTCAGGGCACATGCCTCGGTTGTGGGCTTGGTCCCTAGTGTGGGGCATGCAGGAAGCAGCCAATCAATAATTCTCTCTCATTATTGATGTTTCTATCTCCTTCTCTGAAATCAATAAAATCCTATATAACAAAAGGCTAATATGCAAATAGACTGAACAATCGGTCGCTATGACATGCACTGACCACCAGGGGGCATATGTGCAGAACATGGTGGTGCTTTGGTGGCGGCGGGGGAGTGGAGCAGGTGAGTGGGGGCACCAGACCAGGGCGGGGCGCCAGTCGCTGTCATCGGGGCAAGCCTCTGGTAGTTACTGAAAATTCTTTGCTCCTGTGCACGCTGCGGTCCTTCCTGATGCTCGCACCCACTGCCGGTGTCCAGCGCTGGCACCGATCACTTGGCGCCATCAGTGGGTGTGAGCAGCAGCTGCGGCCCCAGTCACCCCTGAGGTCTTCTCCACCTCCCCCTGCTCCTTAGGGGCAATCAGGGCTCGCACCCACTGTCGGGACAGCCCCACTCACACCAGCTGCTGGCACTGGCCCCAATTGCTCTGCTCTGTCAAGGGGAGCGAGCAGGATGGCACCGTCAGCGCGTGGGAGTGGCGGCAGAGGGAGTGGGGCTGCCAGCACACAGGGGACCAGGGACCCCAGTGGGAGGGCCTGGGCGGGGGTGCGGAGGGTGGGCCGAGACCCGCCCCTGTGCCCACTGCAGCCTCGTGGCCCACAGTTCCTTTCAAGGTGCACGAATTCATGCACTGGGCCCCAGTATATATATAAAACAATAATAACAACATAGATACCCTTTCGCCCATCAAGTCACGGTTCCAAGGGATAAGTTCACCCTAAAGATACATCCACACGTGTACACAGACATGCTGTATAAGGACATTTATTGCGGTACTGTCTGCAGTAGCAAAAAAATGGCAACAACCTCAAAGCCCTTCGTCAGGGAACCAGTTACATCAATGACGGTGTGAGGCACTTACTATGTGGCCACTGAAAGGAGCCAGGGGGACTTACGATGTCTAAGGTGAACCGTGAGGTGAGAAGAGGCGAGTACAGCACCTCACGGCTGTGGAAGCGTGGGAAGTACGCACACACGTGCCCGCACTAGCGCAGCCGGCAGCTGGACGGATTCAGGAGGCTGGCACCGAGGCTGTCTTTGTGAGAGGGACCCCGGGACCTCAAGTTGGGGAGACACGCATCCTCTTGCAGTGTTTGAATTTTAAATTATATGTGCTCACTTCTTAGATTTACCAGATATTAACATTTTCAAAACGTGAACTTGGAACGCTCTAATAGTGCAAACTTTCTACGTGAAGGGTCACCGCTGTGGTCCCCGCACACCAGGGCGCCAGCAGTCCAAACGGGACCAGCAGGATGAATGAATGAATGAATGAATGAATGCGCATGTGCAGGCCAGGCGGGAAGGCGGCAAAGGGGTGTGTTTTGAGCCAGAAGGTGGCGCTACGAGCGCAGCGAGGACCCAGTCTGTGAGACGCGGTGTACTAGGTGCGCAAAATGACGCTGATGTTTCATACACACACACAAGAGCTTTCACACCTGATCACTCCTTCACAGCAGCCTCCCGGGAAGCTCACGGGCAGGAATCTCTGGGCTTAAACCGTGCCCGGGCCTCCTGCCGGTTGGAGCTGCAGGGTAGCAGCATGTAACTCACTGGTGGCAAATACTTGTCTCCAACGGAGGCATCTAATCTTAGAAACGGTCTAATGTCCTTTGGCTGCAAGTTGGCTTAAAGGGTGAGACATCAAGTGAGGCAATTCACCTTTTAGTAAAAAAACAAGACAGGCCCTGGCCGGTGTGGCTCAATGGATAGAGCCCCGGCCTGCGGACCAAAGGGTCCCAGGTTCCATTCCGGTCAAGGGCACGTGCTTTGGTTGCAGGCTCCTCCCTGGCCCCCGCCCTCATCAGGGCGCGTGCAGGAGGCAACCAATGTCTTTCCCTCTCTCTTCTCTCCTTAAAAATCAATGGAAAAATATCCTCAGGTGAGGATTAACAAAAACAAAAGAGAATCAAAGCAGGTTGCTGCTCTGATTTTTCTTAAAAATTGACTGCAGACTTAGCCCCAAAAGGATGCTCAAAAGATGGGGTGCGGGGCGCCGGGTGCCAGGGCTGCTTTGAAGAAGTCCACGCTCTCGGACGCGGAGGTTCTTACTCGCTGGCGACGCGGGCTCCCGGTGCGGCGGGCAGCCGGGCGCTCAGCTCTTCTTGCGCAGCTGGTTGTACTGCGCGCGGCCCAGGATGGGCTCCATGTGGCTGGGCCGGAAGAAGCTGTCGCTGACCCTGCGCGCCTTCTCGCGGGGCACGGCCGGGAACGTGTTGCTCAGCGCCGTGGGCAGGTCCCCTCTGTCCTCCAGGCCCGGCCCCCTGGCGCTGCGCAGGCTGCCCCGGTGCTGCGCCGGGCGCTGTGCGGGCTCCGGGCAGGTGGGCGCCGCCGATGCCCTGCGCTTCAGCTCCTCGATTTCCCGGAATTCGCTCTCGGGCTCCATCAGGGACAACCTGGGGAGCTGAGACCAGGCAGCCGCCTCAGGGCCCCGTTTGGTCTCGCCTTGAGCCTCTGACCCACCCCCGCGGCCCCCCTCCCAGGAGCAGCCATCAGCAGGGCACAGGCTGGGGGGGGGGCCAGGGCCTGTGGTACAGGGGTGTGGGGTGTGCTGCACCCAGGCAAGGCAGACCCTCCTAAGGTTTCTAGACCCCTGGTGCCTCCTCCAGGCCCTCTCAGTTGGAGGCCAGTGGCTTTCCTGACCCGTCCTGGGGCCTGAATTGTAGGCCAAGCAGGGCCCACACACTGCCTGGTTCTGATCTGGCCCAAGGGAGCCGAGCTGGCTGCCAAGAGCCCTGCCACACCTCGTGGTGGGAGTGACTGACCGGGTGACCCCAGGTCCTGCAGGTGGGAGCTGAGGGGTGAGGGCCAGGCCACAGGGACCCCCATTCTGACCCGGAGGAGGGAGGTGGGGGAAGGTCTCAGGCCAGGGCACCAGGTCTCTCTATTCCTGGGGCCCCAGGGGGTCAGCATGTTGCCCGGGCCCTGAGGGGAGGGGGGTGGCGGGTGTGACTCACCGGCACGTAGTGCACCACCGTGTCCACCACGTTGTCCGTGACCCCCTTCAGGGCGTCTGACAGCGACATGGCCCTGCTCTTGGTCGAGGTGGCAGCGGGGGCCGACGTGAGGTGCAGCATCCTCCCCGCCGTGCCCAGCACAGCGGTGGGCGCCCACAGCATGACCGAGATGGTGCCCTGGACAGCCTTCTGCAGGGTGTGCACCGCGCTGCCCAGGAGGCCTTGTGGGCGTGCCAGGTCTGCTGCCTGGGGACCAGAGCAAGGTCAGGGCCTCCCGCAGCACCCCTGGCCCTCCCCCTCCCCCCACCGCAGGCCTAGAGGGACAGAACATGGCCCCCTGGCCCGGCTGCTGTGTGGCCTCGGGCAGGTCACTTGCCCTCTCTGAACCTGACTATGCTGTGAGCAGGGCATGGAGGTCCTGGTGGCTGGGCCTCTGCTTCTCACCCCCCGGGCTGTGCACCCCTCAGCTCCCTCTCACCTCGCTGAGCTGCTCCTCCGTCTCCGAGTCCGAGTCCTCCTTCTCCTTCTCCTTGGCCTCGTCCCCCTCACTGTCTGTCTGGTCATCGTGGTTCGCCTCGCGGGCGGCAGCGGCGGCGGCGGCCAGGTTGTGCAGCCAGGGCACCCGCACCTCGCTCGGCCGCCGGATCACCACCTGCGAGGCCGCTGACGCTCCCCACTGGGCCAGGCTGCTCTGTGGGTGCCAAGGCGGGGGGGGGGGGGCTCTGGCATCACAGCCCCGCAGCCAACGGGCCTCCCCCGGGTCAGGGAGGGGAGGTCACAGGGCCTACCCCAGGGGACTGTTCTTAGAACTTCTCACTGAGGCAAGTGACACACAGGGCACACGCCTGTGTGATCAGCGCAGGTCAAGACGGAGACCACTCTCAACACCCCAGGGCGCTCCCGTGACCCCCACCCGGTCAGTACCCCGAGGGTGACCTTCTGCCCTCTCACCAGGCACTGGTTCTGCCTATTTCTGAACGTCACCTAAATGGACTCCTACTGCGTGTTTTCAGGAAGAGCTTCTTCGGTTCAGTACTATGTTGTGAGGTTTACGCATGCTTTGCAGGCCCAAGTGGCCCTCCTTTTTCACCCCTGTGTAATATTCCACTGTCGAAATGGACCACATTTGCCCATTCTGCTGTTGGCGGCCATCGGAGTTGTTCTCAGTTCTCGGCCAAGGGTACAGCTGAGGGGATATCGGCTCTCATTCTGCTGGCGGGATTGCCAGGTCTCCGGGGAGGTGTGTGTTTCTAGTAAGTGGTTGCAGATCTTTACAGAGTGACAAAATCAGGTGGGCCAGAGTCCGATGGGAGGAGGCCAGCAGGCCCCACTGGTAAATGGCCCCGCGGTGCCTTCCTACTGGAGCCGCAGAACCCAGCGCACAGTAGGTTCTCAACTTGAATGAATGGGCCAGTTCTGGCGATGCTTTTGAAAAGATCACCCGGATGATGGCTGAAATGTGTTTGCTGACCTTGATGCTTTAATACTGCCTTTATTTCCTTTTCGGCCTTAGTTTCTTACTAAAGTTCCCTATGAAAAAATCCAGCCCAGCCAAGTCCGGCCGGTGTGGCTCAGTGGTTGAGCATTGACCTAGGAACCAGGAGGTCACGGTTCGATTCCCGGTCAGGGCACATGCCCGGGTTGCAGGGTCGATCCCCAGTAGGGGACGTGCAGGAGGCAGCCGATCCATGATTCTCTCTCATCATTGATGTTTCTCTCTCTCTCCCTCTCCCTTCCTCTCTGAAAGCAGTACAAATATGTTTTTTAAAAGTCCAGCCCGTCTCTGCTGAAACACACAGAGAGATGGGGGAAGAGAGAAGCTGCCCCTCCCTGGGCCTAGGAAAGGCGGCTCTACCTCGGGTGCAGGGGGTGCAAATTGGACGCCTCCAGAGGGGAATCAGAAACCTGGGAACGGCGGACACAGCCCAGCTAGAGCTTCCCCAACAGAATGGACTGTGCCTTGTTTATTGACATGCCCTAGTGCCTGGACAGCCGCTGTGTGTGTGGGGGGGGGGGGGCGCGGGGGAGTTCTGCTCCCTCACAGGTGGGAGGGCCCACAGCGAGAGGCCCAATTGGAAATGAAGGGGGATGGGACCCAGTGGGAGAACGGGTGGTGGGGCAGGACCACCTAGCAAGGCACCACCCTCAGCTTGCATCCTGGCCTTTCCTCTTGTCCTTAGACCTAAAGTCCCAGCCCAGGCTGTGGGGAGCAGCGGGGGCGGGGAGGGGGGCAGTCAGAGCTCAGGGCAGACACTCACCAGGGGTGCCACCCCGGGGATCCACATGGCCAGGGCGTGGCCCTGCTTCAGCACCTGCTTTGTGGTCTGGAAGGTGTGCTGAGAGACGGTGTTGGCCAGGTTCCCCACCCGACTCATGAGGCTGCGATTGGTCTTGGGAGGCTTCTGGGCCTGCTGGCGTCCCGGAACGGGGGCTGGGGAGGAGTTGGGGGGAGAGAAGGGAGAGCGGATCAGAGGTGCAGGGAAAGCTGGGCTGGGTTAGGGCTGCTGCTGCTGCCCCAGCTCCACAGGCTCATGGTGACCTGGGCCACCCACTTTCCCTGCTTGCAAACGGGAGACGGGCTAAGCGAGGATGGGCGCATCGGAAACCCCGCGGGGCCTCCCCTGCTCCGGAACAGGGGCTGGATGAGCCCTTGCCCCCTTTGCTCATTTCCAGGGGCCAATTCACTCCCCAGGGCGGGACTGGCAGCCCCTGCGGGCAGATACCTGACTCGTCCTTGGCTGGAGGGATGAGGAACTCCACCACCTTCTCCATACCACCCACGGCCAGCTCAGCGCCCCCAGAGGCCAGCCGGCCAACTCGGGTTTTGGCGGCGTACTCCGCTGTGTCTTTGGCCACCCCCAAGGCGAGCTCACAGCTGGCCAGGGCGGCCCCCAGGACCTTGTCCGACGTGCTGGCGATGGGCACGCTGATGCTGTTCCGGGCGCTGCGGAGGCGGGTGGAGATGGTGCCCTTCAGCTCGGAGGCAATCTGGGGAGAGGGGAGGAGGGTCAGGTGCTTGAAAGGCCCAGGGGAGCCCGGCCGGTGTGGCTCAGTGGTTGAGCATTGACCTATGAACCTGGAGGTCACGGTTCGACCTCCAGTCAGGGCACATGCCCGGGTTGCGGGTTTGATCCCCAATAGGGGGCATGCAGGAGGCAGCCGATCCATGATTCTCTCTCATCATTGATGTTTCTCTCTCTCTCCCTCTCCCTTCCTCTCTGAAATGCATCACAGACGTCTGTTCTTCAAAACTCCTCCGTCTGCTCTGACCTCCCTTCAGAGCACTGCTCACAGCCCGGCTGCATCTACAGCGATTTATGGATGGGGCTGAGCTTCTTGCACGTTCTGCAGTGAAAGAACGTGTCTCGCCCTAGCCGGTTTGGCTCAGCGGATAGAGCATCGGCCTGCAGACCAAAGGGTCCCAGGTTCGATTCGGGTCAAGGGCATGGACCTCAGTTGCAGGCTCCTCCCTGGCCCAGGCCCTGGTTGGGGCTCGTGCAGGAGGCAACCAATCGATGTGTTTCTCTCACATCAATGTTTCTCTCTGTATTTCCCTCTCTCTTCCACTCTCCCTAAAAATCAATGGAATTATATCACGGGTGAGGATTAAAAAAAAAAAAGAAGAAGAAAGTGTCTCTCCCATTAGCCTGGGACCTCCTTTGTGACAAAGATGTTGCCCTTCATCGGGGAAAAAGAACACAGCAGAGCACAGGCCTGGGAGCCAAACAGACCCAATCTCAGGGCCTCCCCGGAGGCTGTGAGACCAGCGGGAAGTCACCAGTTTTTCCATCTGTAAAATGGGGACAAGCACCCATCCCCAGGACTGACAGGAGGGTGACATGAGACAGCTCTAGAAATCACGCATTCCGGCCCTGGCGCAGGACGGGGGCGGGTGGGGGATGAGATTTAGTTACCATAACAAATACCCAGCAACTATGTATCCAGGGGCCCTGCCTCCTCAGCCTCAGGCCCATGCAGTGGTCGCCCACCTTTCAGACCTCACAGCCCACCATTGGCGACCACTGATCTGGAGGACAGGGGCCTGCAATCCTGGGATCTGCGGGTGTGACCAGGATCTTAGGTGGCTGCGGACACCACTGGGTCCAATGCAGGCCCCCGGGGGGTCTCAAGGGGGGGGGGTGTTGGGATTAGGGGACCCACCCTGTACCTGCTGGTGCCAGAAAGCCTGCCTTCCTTCGGCTCCACGGGGCCAGGAAGGAGCGCAGTGCGTGGCCTGGGGGGCAGGCAGCGCCCCCAGCCTGGGAAGGCGCTCGCCACAGAAATGAACGACTCCTGGTCAGGGCATCCAGGGCCTGCACCCCCCTCCCCTGAGAGAAGAGAGAGGGGCTCACCTTCTCAGGGGGGTACTGGAGGGCCGGGATCTTCTCCTCCAGGGTGTCCAGGCCTCGGCAGGCCAGCTCATTAGCGGCTGTGACTGGAAGCAAAGGGCCGAGTGACAACCTTGCGGTGGAGCCCTCAGACCCCCCAGCCCTGCTCCCTCCAGAGCATCACGGGGCCCGAGGACCTCTGTCCCCTCCAGCCCCCGTCTGCCGTGACCTCTGGAGACTGGCCGGCTCCTGCCCTCCGTGTGGGCACTGGAGTCAGGCAGACCTGCACTCGCGTCTACAGTGAGTGGCTCTGGGCAAGTCACAGCCTGCCTGGCCCCAGGTCCCTCACTGTCAGTGAGGATTAACGGTGCCTGCCTGGCGGGGTGGGGGTGGCGGAGAGAAAGGGAGGGAAACTGTGTGAATCAGCCGCTAAGACCGGCGGGAGCAGAGGTGGGAGAGGGGGCAGCAGGGCCTGGGGGCCTTGGTGGGGCCAGGCCTGGCGCTACCCAGAGGCGACAGACTCCCAGTCACAGCCCGTCCAGGCCCCAGTCTGTCCCCAGCCCCTCCTTTGAGCCTCTAGGAGTGAGACGGTCAACAGTGCGCAGGGCAGAGAAAGGAGAGGCGCCCTGGGCGGGGCAGGTGCCCGAGGAGGCACAGGCACAGGAGACCCTGCCCAGGGACAGGGGGACCAGCTCTGCCATTGGCCATGGAGATGGTTTTTTGTTGTTGTTTTGTTTGTTTGTTAATCTTCACCCAAGGACATTTTTTTCCGTTGATCTTTTAGAGAGAGTGGAAGAGAGAAGGAGAGACAGAGAGAAACATTGATGTAAGAGACACACATCGATTGGTTGCTTCCTGCACGTGCCCCGACCAGGGCCCAGGCGGTGGAGGGACCTGCAACCGAGGTACATGCCCTTGACCGGAATCGAACCCGGGACCCTTCGGTCTGCAGGCCGATGCTCTATTCATTGGGCCACACTGGCCAGGGCTGGAGATGGGTTTTATATGTACCCTTTCATATGCTCTTACGCCAGGTATCTTATTTCTCTTTACAAAGTTTTTAGTAGACAGCCCAGATGACCTGGCCGTCTTCTGACTGGGCAAAAGGAGACCAAAGGATTATCTGAGGAGCGTGTAGGGGGGAGGTGGCCGGGGCCTGGGTCCTCCCCACCCCTGTGCTCTCCTGCTTGCTGTACGGACTCCTCAGACCCTGTGATTCTCTAATCAGGATGGTGGGAAGTTCCAGGCTTCCTGGTATTGCTGGGGTTTCCCTCACACCCCCCACCCCCACCCCCCCACCCCTCACACACACCCAGGGCTGGGCCTGGGAGGCAGGTTTACATGGGGGCAGGACACTGATCAGGGGCAGGTCTGGGAAGGCGCAGGGAGGGGTGCCCTGCCCCGCTAGGGCCCAGGCTGGCAGCTCTCTGCTGCCCCCGTGTGTCATGAGCTGGTACCACCAGCGGCTGAGCCCCGAGGGCTTCCCTGGCCTCCGCTCTCCACAGCCCTGGCAGGCCAGCCTGATGCCCGCCGCCCCTGCCTCTGTGCCGGGCTCTGCTAGTTCCTGTGGCTGCATCTGGAGCTGAAGTGGGTGTCTGACCGGCCACGGGGCCCACTCCCACCACCGCCCACAGCTCTGCCCACGCCTCCTGCCAATTCCTTGGCCCATCACTGTTATCCTAGGAAAATGGCAGCTGGATATCTTTTGACAAGAAGAGTTGCCGAAACCGGTTTGGCTCAGTGGATGGAGCGTCAGCCTGCGGACTGAGAGGTCCCGGGTTCGATTCCGGTCAAGGGCATGTGCCTGGGTTGCGGGCACATCCCCGGTGGGGGATGTGCAGGAGGCAGCTGATCGATGTTTCTCTCTCATCGATGTTTCTAACTCTCTCTATCTCTCTCCTTTCCTCTCTGTGAAAAATCAATAAAAATATATTAAAAAAAAAAAAAAAAAAAAAAAAAAAAAAAGAAGAGCTATATCTACATCCATCTCTCCATCTCCATAGCTCCATGATCCATATCTATCAATGAGAAGGCTATGCAGTGAGTCAGACACACGTATAAGCAGACAGCGCAGCAAGCTGTGAGACGATCAGACAGACTGACGGTGGACACAGACTGGCAGGCAGGCAGGGAGCATGCGTGAGGACGCGGGCGGCCCACGTGCCACAGGGACTCACACTGGGTGGACAGCCTGCGGACCACGGGCTCCATGCTCCAGGCGGCCAGGCTGCTGGCGCCCTGAACGCCCTTCTCGTAGGCGTTGCACACGGAGGCCACCAGCGGGTGGGCCTCCTTGGTGCTGGTGTAGGTCTTCTGGACGCACTCGCAGGTGCCGCTCACCACGGGCAGCTGCAGGACTCGCTGCAGCACATTCTCCTGCTCCTGGAGTGGGAGGAAGACAGGCCAAGGTGTGCGAGTGGTCACACCTCCCTCTCCCGCCCCTGCAACCCCCTAAGGCGGCCCCAGGGCCACAGAGCCCACTGGCGAGGCCAGCCTGGGTCCAGTGACCTAGCAGGAAGCCAGGTCTCGGTGGTCTCTTCACACCCCCGATGGGAAACGGGCCACAGCCCAGCTCTGCAGGGCTCCCAGGGCACGGCGCCCCCCCAAGCTCCAGCCCACCCACTGACACCGTCGGGCGCAAAGCTTCTGTCCATGTTGGTTTGGGGGCTTTATCTAAACACTAGAGGCCTGGTGCATGAAATTTGTGCACTGTGTGTGTGGGTCCTTCAGCCTGGCCTGCGCCCTCTCACAGTCCAGGAGCCCTTGGGGGCAGTCGGATAGCCTTAGTGCTGCCACGGAGGCGGGGAGAGGCTCCTGCCACTGCTGCTGCACTCACCAGCCATGAGCCCAGCTCAGGGCTTCTGGCTGAGCTGTGCTCACCGGGGGCAGCTCCTGTGTTGTGCATCTGCCTTCTGGTGTGTCTTATAGCAACTTGTCATTCCGCCATTTGGTCAGTTTGCATATTAGCCTTTTATTATATAGCTGGTTTGGCTCAGTGGGTAGAGCAGACTGAAGGGTCCCGGGTTCGATTCCCGGTCAAGGACACATGCCCGGATTGCACGCTCGATCCCCAGTACAGGGTGTGCAGGAGGCAGCCGATCCATGATTCCCTCCTATCATTGATGTTTCTATCTCTTTCTCCCTCTCCCTTCCTCTCTGAAATCAATAAAAATACACTTTTTAAAAAAAGGAAAAGAAGAAAGGCCCCCAGCTCTGACTCGCTTTGCATTTGCCACTGGTACATGGTTCTGCTGGGAGGCGAGCTCCCAGCCGTGTCCGCGGGTGGGAGGCTGAGCGACAGACCCACCCAGAAGGTGTGAGCGTCCACTAGATCCAGGCTACAGTCTCTGAGCTTCCTGTCCTGCAGGTGAGTTTGAAATCTGAGCCAGAAAAAGATTATGACTGACAACAGCAAACCTTTTCTTTCATGTTTTGGACAGAGTCCTTAGGGGTTCTTTTAGGCAAAGCCAAGGAAGAGAGAGGTCCTGGGAAGAAAATACCCCCCCTACAAATACACATTAGGATGGCTTCACTGTGCACCTGACCAGCTTGAGCCTCTGTGTGCTCCACGATCAACACAAAACTTAACACGGCGATTCCCAGGGCAAAGGGTAAGTAAAGCTAACTTGGGACAAGGTGAGTATGGTGTGGCTTCATCATTTTTTCATTTCAAAGTTTTTAAAAATATATTTTTATTGATTTCAGAGGGGAAGGGAGAGGGAGAGAGAGAGAGAAACATCAATGATGAGAACCATCAATCATGGATCGGCTGCCTCCTGCATGCCCCACACTGGGGATGGAGCCCGCAACACGGGCATGTGCCCTGACCGGGAATCAATCTGTAGCCCACCCCACCCCCCCGGCTCATAGGTCGGCGCTCAATCGCTGAGCCCCGTAGGCAGTTTCACTATTTGAACTGTGTCTGAATCAGAGAGGCTTGGCCAGGAGGTTAGCAGGTACATCCAAACATGTCAAACCATCCCAAATCACGTGGGAACCAGCTGGACACAGCCCTGGACACGCGCCCCTCCCCTGTCCCACAGGCAGCAGTGCAGGCTGTGCCCTGTGTGACTGCGAGGCGCCACGGTCTCAGACCACGGCAGGAACAACGCCTGGTTACAGCGCGCAGCGGCTCCTACTGCAGGGACCTCCGCCTGGGCGGACAGAGCGTGGGTCTCCGTGCCCGGGTTTAGAATACAGTGGTTCTGTCCGGCCGGTGTGGCTCAGTGGTTGAGCATCAACCTAGGAACCAGGAGGTCACGGTTCGATTCCTGGTCAAGGGCACAGGCCTGGTTGTGGGCTCCATCCCCAGTGGGGGGTGTGCAGGAGGCAGCCGATCTATGATTCTCTCTTATCACTGATGTTTCTGTCTCTCTCTCCCTCTCCCTTCCTCTCTGAAATCAGTAAAAATATTTTTTTTAAAAAAAGAAAGAATATAGCAGGTCCCTTCTCCTCTCCCTCCCAGCTGGTATTTCTGTCCTTTTTCTCCAAAGTCCTTTGTTTTGAATGGGCATCTTCCCTGCTCCACCCCCCCCTACCCCCCACCCCCCACCCCCGATCCTCTAACAGCCCTCTGCAGAATGAAGTGAGAGCAAGAATAACTAAGACCTAACGGTCAATGAACGCCAATGTCCGCGGACCACTGGTTGGTGACTGCTGCTCTCCACGCATCTTGCTCCACGTACCCTGAGCCTCCCTCACGGGTCCACCCCACCGCATGCGCCCAGGTTACTTACGGGGCAGTCTCCATCCATCAGGGTGGGGCTCTTGTTCACGGCCATCGTAGCTCTTCACGCTGCAAAGCAGAAGGCCCCGGTGCATCAGCAAACCCTCAGCTGCAGACACCCAGGGCCAGTCCCTCCCTCTCGGGCCTCCAGCTGGGCCCAGGCTGCCTGGGAGCTGGGGTGTCCTGAACAGGAGGCACTAGGCTGGAGGGCAGATGGCACAGACAAGCAGCCACTCCTGGGGTCCCACTGGGATGAGGTGCCCACAGCCTGCTTGTCAAGACTGGTGTTTCTGCCCGGCTGTCGTGGCTCGGTGTCGTCCCATGGACCAAGAGGTCCCCGGTTCGATTCCCAGTCAGGGCACGTGCCCGGGTTGCAGGCTTGATCCCCAGTGGGGGTCATGCAGGAGGCAGCTGATCCATGATTCTCTCTCATCATTGATGTTTCTCTCTCCCTCTCCCTCTCCCTTCCTCTCTGAAATCAATAAAAATATATTTTAAAAAATTTAAAAAAAAAAGAGTTAAGAGGTTCTGCCCCAGCCGAGTGACTCAGTTGGTTGGGCATCATCCCATACATCCAAAGGTTGCTGGTTCGATTCCTGGTCAGGGCACATGCCCAGGTTGAGGGCTTGATCCTCATTAGGGGCGTGCAGGAGGCAGCCGATCCATGTTTCTCTCTCTCCCTCTAAAATCAATAAAAACATATTCCTTAACAAAGAACAAGTTTTGCATGAACACTTTTTAAGAAGGCATACCTGCCAGCCCTCCCCCTCTGTATTCAACCAGGCGAGAAAGTAGTTGCTGGCTATTTTCGACTGCCTTCTAGAAAAGCTAGCAGCCCCGGACTATCGAATCTACACTCTCGGTCATTCACCCGGCAAATTCCCAGGAGACCTCTCCCCGCCCGACCCTCCTCTGTTTTCCTTTGACTCTGAGAGACCAACCAGGTAAGGCAGGTAAGGCAGGCGTCCCGGGACCCCCACACTCACTCCGGCTGACGCCTCCTCTGTCCCAGAGCCCCGGCTGCAGTGTCTCCTCCGACAGAAACAATCCCGGTCGCTCCGAGGAGTCTTGGGCAATGCCACTGACACCTCCCAGCTAGAGGAGGGCAGAGACAAGAAAGCTTAGTCAGCCCGTTGCCATGGTTACTAGACCCAGGGTCCCCCGGGGCATACCCTAACTTGTGTAAGGTTTAGCCAACTGGGAGGGAGGTAGATGGCGGAGCCGACGGGGATCCGGGCTCACAGCAGTCATTATTCCAGAGCTTTCCATCAGTTCTGTAGCAGGTTTCTGGCTCCCCCAGTTCTCAAAACCCCGTTTTCCATAAGGAAAGTGCGGGGATACGTGTCATTAAACGTGGATGCTATAACCTTTCGCTCCCCTTCCATAGAGGGTCCCGCGGGACTGTTTTCAGCCCATTTCCCATCCCTTATTATCACTATCGGAGGGAATTTCTTTAAAAATTTGTATTGATTTCAGAGCGGAAGGGAGAGGGTGAGAGAGATAGAAACATCAGTGATGAGAGAGAATCATGGATCGGCTGCCTCCTGCACGCCCCCCACTGGGGATCGAGCCCGCAGCCCGGGCATGTGCCCCTGGCTGGAATTGAACCCGGGACCCTTCAGTCCGAAGGTCTATCCACTGAGCCACACTGGCTAGGGCTCTTGGTGAGGAAGCACCCAAGCTGGGGTGAACTCCCTGACCGTCCAGCCTTTGAGGGAGCAGCTTCAACCTCTGCCCATTCCTACATTTCAAGGAAGTTTCTTGAACTCCACCTGCTCTAAGATGCCACCAAACATGCCGCTGGAGGGCCACCTGGATTCGCCCAAGAATCTGTCACTGGTCAGCAACCAAGAACTGTGGCCTCGCACCCCTGCCTTGGCCACAGGTCAGGCTGAGCCTGGTTCCTGGCTGCAAATGATGGAGGGCGATGGTGTGAGCCACGGTGTTCACACTGAGGACGGCCTCTCAATGACAACGGACAGGAGAGCAACCCTGACTTCCCTTGCTGTTGGTGGGACTCTGTATTGTTGACGCTCTAGGTCAGCGGTTCTCAACCTGTGGGTCGCGACCCCTTTGGGGGTCGAACGACCCTTTCACAGGGGTCGCCTAAGACCATCGGAAAACACATATATCATTACATATTGTTTTTGTGATTAGTCACGATGCTTTAATTCTGTTCAGTTTGTAACCATGAAATTGGGGGTCACCACAGCATGAGGAACTGTATGAAAGGGTCGCGGCATTAGGAAGGTTGAGAACCACTGCTCTAGGTTGTGTGCTGTGGGCAGTGGAGGAGGAGGTGGAGGGTGGGGCCCGGCCGGTGTGGCTCAGTGAGCATCAACCTATGAACCAGGAGGTCACAGGTTTGTTTCCCCGTCAGGGCGCATGCCCGGGTTGCAGGCTCCATTCCCAGTGAGGGGCGTGCAGGAGGCAGCCGATCGATGATTCTCTCTCATCATGGATGTTTCTCTCTCTCCCCCACCTCCCTTCCTCTCTGAAATCAATAAAAATATATATAAAAAAAAAAAAGAGGGGCAGAGGGTGGGGGAAAACTGAGCTCTCTGGTAGGTCCTCATAATCCAGTCGGTATCTGTGAGACAATAAAGCAGGAACTGGGAGGTGAGGAAAGGGAGAATCCAGCGGGAGTCGTATGTGAAACGTTCACTACTTATGGGTCCGACCCAGACTTCAAGAAGGAAAGGCGGTAATGGGGGGGTAGGGGGAGTGTCTAAGGCATGGCCTCTGCCCTCGGGCCGTGTCTGGAGAGCAAGCTGGCCAAAGGGCAGCTCCAGCCCTTGGAGAAGTGGCTGTGGGCCAGAGGGAGGAGAGGGCGCTGGCCCGAAGCGCTGGCTGCTGACATCGCTGGTCCTCTGGCCGAGCTGCCGGGAAGCCGGCGTGTGGGGGAGAGGTGAGCGAGGTGAAAGGGCCAGGGGAGTCCCTTGGGAAGGGTCCGCTTTCCAGCAGCAGCTTCAAGGACAGGGTTACCGTCCTCCCCCATCTCTGTCTGCCCGCCCCCCGCCACGCCTACCACACACACACAGGGACCTTGCCATCTGTGCACAGTGGGTCCCAGAACTAGGCAAGGCACTCAGACGCTCACCCCTGAATGCATTTCTTGGGCACTGGGTTCAGCTGTGAGGTGCTGGCTTGTACGTTTATTGGGAGGGTCTGGCTTTTTGAATCACTCATGAATGTGGAGGCACGGAGGTGGGGGTGTTACCTAAAAAGGTGCACAGGGAGGGAGGTACCAGGGCGCACACATTCTAGCTCTTCACAAATTCTAGAAGAGGCGCCTTCCCCGGACTCCCCACCACCTACTCCAGGGATGGCGAACCTTTTGAGCTCGGCGTGTCAGCATTTTGAAAAACCCTAACTTAACTCTGGTGCCGTGTCACATATAGGAATTTTTTGATATTTGCAACCATAGTAAAACAAAGACTTATATTTTTGATATTTATTTTATATATCTAAATGCCGTTTAACAAAAATCTACCAAAGAAATGAGTTCGCGTGTCACCTCTGACACGCGTGTCATAGGTTCACCATCACTGACCACTCTAACTTGGAGAGGACAAAAGTACCACCATGAGCCTGGCCGGTGTGGCTCAGTGGTTGAGTGTTGACCTATGAACTAGGACAGTGGTTGGCAAACTGCGGCTCGCGAGCCACATGAGGCTCTTTGGCCCCTTGAGTGGGCCACGAAGTTTCAATCGCACTGTACGTGCGCACCCGCACATGGTATTTTGTGGAAGAGCCACACTCAAGGGCCGCAGTTTGCCGACCACTGAACTAGGAGATCACGGTTCGATTCCTGGTCAGGGCACATGCCTGGGTTGGGGGCTCCATCCCCAGTGTGGGGCGTGCAGGAGGCAGCTGATCAATGATTCTCTCTCATCATTGATGTTTCTATCTCTCTCTCTCTCTCCCTCACTTCGTCTCTAAAATAAAATAAAATATTTGGAAAAGGAAAATAAAATAGTACCACCACGATACCACTGTAACATGCCTCCAGGAGAAGCAAACCCCGCCTTCGGGCCTGACAGAGGACCTCGCCTGGGTAGCAGCGGATGAGAGCATCGAGAGCCTCTAGCGACCCAGGTGCTCTAGTCTAAGTCCCTCTTCGTCCTCCTCCTCAGCCGGGGTTCCAGGCCTGAGCGCACGCCGCCCTGTGCAGACTCTGCTGAAGGTCGTCTCGGGACCGCCTTCCTTTGAACGCTTCTCCATGCCCACGACACACTCACAGAGAGAGTCAATTTTGTCTAGAGATTTAATTAGACATGTTTCATCTCTTAGAGTAAAGGATCTGGACAAAGTATCAAGGGTTGTTTAAATGTTTCATGTGCCCTCATCTAGCCGCTTTCATGTCTCTTAAAATTCCCCCAAGGTTTCTTCTCAAATCCTGACTCTTGATCGCTTTAAAATAAAGAGCCAAGAACCGCCGAAACTGGTTTGGCTCAGTGGATAGAGCGTCGGCCTGCGGACTGAAGGGTCCCAGGTTCGATTCCGGTCAAGGGCATGTGACTTGGTTGCAGGCACATCCCCAGTGGGGGGTGTGCAGGAGGCAGCTGATCGATGTTTCTCTCTCATCGATGTTTCTAACTCTCTATCCCTCTCCCTTCCTCTCTGTAAAAAATCAATAAAATGTATTTTTTTTTAAAAAAAAAGAGCCAAGAAGCTGAGCCTACTTTCTAAGAAGCTCAATCACTTGTACCTGAAGCTTAGATCTGTGATCACAAAAGAACCCGGCACCCAAGACGGGAAGTAGGAACACGAGGAAGTGGCCTCTGCTCAACACTGAGACATCTCCTTCACTAATGCCTACGGCTCCGTCCACCGCCCAACCCCCTACACACACACACACACACACACACACACACACACACACACACACGGAGCGTGACTGGTCATAGAAAATTGCGACCCGCCGACATTCAGAGTATTTGTGAAACTTCATTGCATAAATTTATGTGCAAATGCCCAAACTGTCCTATGGCTTTAAATAACACCATCTTGCTGACAAGTCTAAATATACAGGGTGTCCCCCCCCCAAAATGTATATACACGCTAACAGCTCAATTTTGAAAGTAAGATGGATTTTAATAAACACTGCCTTTGTAATTACTCAAAGTGTGTGTATACATTTATTTTTTTTGGGGGGGGGGACACCCTATAGTTTTAATTTTTGTAGAAAATAGAAACCACTGACCAACACAGAGTCTCAGAAAGGCTGCTTGCACCGGATCCGGAGTCTCCCACTCCCCTCCACCCGACGGCAGTGAGCTATCACGGAGGTGATGCCACGACTGATCCTGGGTCCCAGTCTGGCTCCTGCACTCACGACTGAGGGGCCTTGGACTGGCCGTCAGGGGAATGAGGTGCTGGCCTCGGCTTTCTTTCAACCCCGTTTCCCCATCTGTCACAGGCCACCCCGTGGTGACCTTCCATGTTCTTTTTGCCTCAGGTTCTTTCTAAGTGCTTCTGCCTTTTTGCTTGGTCACTGCACTACCTCAGACACAACCGAGACCTTGGAGGTGCCTGATGCATTTCTGTTCCACTTCCGGGCGGGGGCCAGGCGGGCAGTGATGTCAGGGCGAGCGATCCCCGAGGCCGGAAGCCCAGCTGCCACCGTCCCGCATGGGCTCCGGGGAGAAAGGGGCCTCTGCTGGCTCTGAGGGCTGTGACTCAGAGCTGCTGTCGGTGCGCAGAAGCAGTGAGGCGGCACAGCCCCCAATGACTGTGTATCAGCGTTCACTTATTGGTTTGGACCTTTAAAAACTTGTTTTCTTTCAATGTTTAGTCATTCAGCAAACACGAAGCTCCTACTATGTGCAGAAGAGAGGCGCAATGAATGTTAGACGAAGGGAAAGTACTCAGAAATTCAGAAGTGATCGCAGCACTCCACAAAACATGTCAATCTTCATGCTCTCCCTCCTCCATCCTTGGCCCGACCTCCGCTCACGCACCAGGTCAGAATGCTCATGCGAACGAGTCGTTCAGCACAGACTGACCCAAGCATGGTCCATGCCCAACGCTAATGTCCGTCCCCCCAAGAGGTGCGAGTCTTCAGCTTCAGGTGAGGCCAGGCCACAGTGATGATGCCGGCGACCGAGGACACGAGCCCCCCGAGCCCAATGATGCCAGGGTTGGACCTGTAGATCCCCAACTGGTCCAGAGGGTTCAGGAGGTCGCAGAGGTTCTTCACCGTGTCCAGGAGCAGGGGAGGGTGCTTGCGCAGCGACCGGAACAAGAGCAGGAGAAAGGACTGGAGCCATTCTGTCTCCTCATCGGCCACGCTGTGCCCCAGAGGATCCTGGGAGAGCGACCTGTCCCTCTTTGCCTTGTCCTGCGCGGCCTGTTCCATCTGCAGGGAGATTTCGTACAGGTCCCTGGCCAGGCTCAGCAGGAGGGAGTAGTAGTAGTGGCGTGCGGCCCACAGTCGCCATTTCTCTTTGTTAATGCCGGAGGCGAGCCCTACGCTCCTCACCCAGAGGACGGTGTCACAGATGAAGTAAACCACACGGTTCAGGTTGGCGAGTGTCAGGCAGAAGCGGGGCACCAGGTCCGTGGCGTGGATGCTCTGCTGAGTGGCCTGTACAGCGTGGACCACGTTGCCCAGCCGGAACCCTGCAAGAACCCACGGCAGCAAACGGTTATTGAACTGTGTGCGGCAGGAAGGCAGGGCCCTGGTCCCTGACACCACACTGTCATTGAGGCTCTGTCCTTGCTCAGGAAAGGAGAAAGACTACACTTCACAGTAGACCTCAGGCACCTAACGTGATCCCAGCCCTGGCCGGTGTGGCTCAGTGGATAGAGCGTCAGCCTGCGGACCAAAGGGCCCAGGTTCTATTCCGGTCAAGGGCATGGACCTCGGTTGCAGGCTCCTCTCTGGCCCGGGCCCTGGTCGGGGCTCGTGCAGGAGGCAACCAATCAATGTGTTCCTCTCACATCGATGTTTCTCTCTGTCTTTCCCTCTCTCTTCTACTCTCCCTAAACACCAATGGAGATATATCCTCGGATGAGGATTAACAAAAATAAACCAACAAATAAATAAATAAAATGACACAGGAAGAGACAGACAGTGGCTCTTTGACTTCCCTGCCTCCACTGCAGTGAATGCTCAGCACCGCCTTACAACACTGGGCAGCTGAGGTCAGGAACCAGTGTCCATCTGCCCAGGACCAGCTTACACTTTACCAGGAAGGCTCTATGGCAACAAGAACTCCAGATGCAGCATCCTTCTGGAGGGTCTGATGCCCTACATTTTATTTACTTCCCACGCAAAAGGTTGCTTTGAAAACAACACCATTATCTGCTGAAACCGGTTTGGCTCAGTGGATAGAGCGTCGGCCTGCGGACTAAAAGGTCCCGGGTTCGATTCCGGTCCGGGGCATGTACCTGGGTTGCGGGCCCATCCCCAGTGGGAGATGTGCAGGAGGCAGCTGATCGATGTTTCTCTCTCATCGATGTTTCTAACTCTCTATCTCTCTCCCTTCCTCTCTGTAAAAAATCAATAAAATATATTTAAAAAAAAAAAAAAGAAAACACCACCATTATCAATTTGCCATTTCTCTGGCCCAACCCCCTTTGGCTCCTACTGTCAAGACAAAGTAAATAACTGGCTCAGTGGTTGAACGTTGACCTATGAACCAGGAGGTCACAGTTCAGGGCACAGGCCCGAGTTGCTGTCTCCATCCCCTGTAGGGGGTGTGCGGGAGGCAACTGATCAATGATTCTCTTTCATCATTGATGTTTCTATCTCCCCTTCTCTTTTCCTCTCTGAAATTAATAAAAATCTGTATTTTTAAAAAAGAATTTAAAAAAGAAGTGAAGGTGGTGGGATTTAGTGGCTAGGACAACGAGTAATATTGTCATATATGACTCCTAGTGAATTACATCCATCACTGCAAGACATGCCTTTCTCTGAGCCTGTAATTCCATTAATCAGGGAGCTATCAATCAAATATTTATGCATCAGTCAAATACTCAGTATGCGGTACCGTCCTAAACACTATGGAGGGTACAAAAGAAGTACTTTCCTTCAAGAACTGTATCTTAGACTCAGCAAATGCTCGGAAGCAGCTTCCCTGAGGAAACTTATAATCTCAGAAGAATGTTTGGTGACAACTTATCAAAGGCAGTGCAGGACACAGAACGCAAGGGATAATCCTGGGCTCCAGCTCGCCTCTTGCACTAATGACCGAGTGACCTTGGGCACGTCCTTTCTGGACTCCCGAGACGGGGACTGCAAAGGGCCTCTGAGCGCCAACACTGTAGAGCATCTGAGCACGTCTATTCTTGCTCTTCAAAGCCGTCCAGAAAGCTCACCCTGCCCTTCCCCTCCCGCTTGACAACGTTAAGTCTTCTCTAGTCAAACCAGTTTTCTCACTGAGCCGCTAACACAGCGGTTCTCAACCTGTGGGTCGCGACCCCTTTGGCCGTCGAAAGACCCTTTCACGGGGGTCGCCTGAGACCATCCTGCATGTCAGATATTGACATGACGACTCATCACAGTAGCAACATGACAGTTAGGAAGTAGCCACGAAAATAATGTTATGGTTGGGTCACAACATGAGGAACTGTATTTAAAGGGCCAGAAGGTTGAGAACCGCTGCTCTAACACACCTGTTTGCTCTGAAGAGTCTGAGCCGTCACTGGAGGAAACCGCCCCAAGACGCTCGCTCTCCGTCCTCCTCTTGCTAGCCACGCCCCCAGCCCACCTCCTCAGAAGCCTTCCTTGTCCTCCACCAACATATCTGGCACTGAATCTAATCGCACTGTTACACCATGTGCTCTCAGGTCTCCCACAAAGCCCGGGACGATGCCTCCACGAAGTCGCTGCTCACAAGTAATTGCGCAACATCTGATTTCTCCATTTCCTCTCGGTCCCGGCTCACCTGCTGCAGCAGCTTCTGGCTCCCCTCCGACAACACCACTGCTACTGGAAGGACAGGTTTCCCACTAAGCCGTACTGGCCAAGTGAACTAAGTGAGCATAAAACACTTGACTTCACATTTTGCCTTTAACGTGAAACCATGCCACCATTGGTCTAAGGAAATGTACCTGCCCCTAGCTGGTTTGGCTCAGGGGACAGAGCGTCGGCCTGTGGACTGGAGGGTCCCAGGTTTGATTCCGGTCCAGGGCACATGCCCAGGTTGTGGGCTTGATCCTCTCAGTAGGAGGCAGCCAACAATGATTCTCTCTCATTATTGATGTTTCTATCTCTCTCTGAAATCAATTATATATATATATATATATATATATATATATATATATATATATATGGAATGACTCCATCCATTTCCCCTAGCAATCCCTAAAGAGAAGAAGGGGAGAAGGGGTCCAGGATAATACAGCTATTCTGTTCTTCCACAGAATACAAGGGGCTCCCGGAGGCAAGAGCTCATGTCGGGGACTGCCCAAACGTGGGGATTCTAAGAACTAAAGGTGAACCAGCCCTGGCTGGTGTGGCTCAGTGGATAGAGCGTTGGCCTGCAGACTGATGGGTTCTGGGTTCGATTCCAGTCAAGAGCACATGCCCGGGTTGTGGGCTCGATCCCCCTCCCCAGGAGGGGGTGTGCAGGAGGCAGGTTCTCTCTCATTATGGATGTTTCTCTCTCCCTCTCCCTTCCTCTCCGAAATCAATAAAAATATATTTAAAAAATAAATAAATAAAGGTGAGCTAACACAGTGTGCGTCCCAAGGGTTGTGATTAAGCACAAAGATGTGGAGCAGCACCGACGGGGAACACAGCAGGTGTTTGTGAATGGTTTGCAGCAGCAAAACAGTCCCCTTGTGGGGCCTGTCATTCCATGAGGGCAGACTGACCGGCTGGCTTCATCAGCAAACCTGACTAGAAAGGAATGTTCTAGAAAGCGTTCTGTGAATTACAGAGCCCGAGGATCCAAGCCAGGGCCCACTGGCCCTGGAGAAACAGGGTACTTACATTTGCGGCCAGTGCTCACACTAGACTCCAGTTTCTTGAGCTTCATTACCACCTTCTCTGTGTCAGGTTTAGGCTCTAACAAATACCTAAGCAACATGCATGTGTACTGAGTGGCTCTGAAAGGGAAAAATAAAAATAAAAATGAAAATGAGGAGGATGATTGACAAGCCAAATAAAACTGGATTCATGAAGTAAGGGAAGGAGGGGCAGGTCTCGCTAGAGGCAAGGCTTCCCAGACTATTTCTCATGCAAGCAGCTCTCCCAAGAGCAGGATTCTGCAACAGGCACTGCACGGGGCCAAAGGGTAGGACGCGTGATGGAAATGCAACTCAAAGGTGATGCAGGAGATCGCGCGATGACACAGAGAACAGCCCCTCTGCGGGCCTTTGGCTGGCACCGGGGTAAACCGCACAGAAACCTCCCTCATGCCAAGTCTGCAAAGACCCAGAGTCTGTATTTTCTCAAGTGCAGAATGATTCTGCAGATTTCTAAAGTGAACTTTTTGCCGTAGAGTTAACCAAGCACTTATGGAATGGCTTAAACTAGAAGCCAATGAGAAGTCCACAGCGTGAATAGTGTTTGATTTTTTTTTATGGCGAGCAAATGCACACCCATACATAACTAAGTTTAGATATGTCTTTCTAAGCTAATTAGTATTGTATATAAATAAAATACAGACAGACCCGTTTAATAATACCAAGTGTTCAATAAAATGATTATTGTCATGCCTACAAATAACAATGCCCTACTAACAGAAATAAAGCAAATGAGCAATTTTATTCATAATCGAACATCTAAATGCACTTGGCAGTCTATTTATAAAGTAGGTGCCTGTTTCCCGCTGTTCTGTAATGTATCTGAATCCCTTTGTGCTATGAATATTACTCTACCTCTGGTCTAATAATTACATCTACATGAGACAAATTAACCAGAGACAATAATCAAATTTAATTGCATATGTTCCCATGGGAACCCCACGTACAGGAAGGGTTCAGACACAGAAAGGGAAACTGAGGCATCTGACATTCTGAGCTAAGGATGAGGTAAGGCGCCTTAGGGCTTGAGGGAAGGAAGGTCATTTGAAGGACAATAAGATGCACAGATGTTCAAAAATTAGAAGTTTGCTCTGCCCTACAGCGAGGTGATAAAGTTATTTCTGGTGACAACTCTTATTACGGGCAAGGCCCCTAATTTAAATTCTTCTAGGTAGTTAAGGGGGGTAGGGCAGAAATTTTTCTTGAGCCTGAGGGGGTCTAGGTTGCCTTTAGCTCAAAATAATCCACCTATCACAGAGGACATCTTGGGGTGACTCGTTCTGATCTCCTATACTCTCAATTAAAATGTAACACGTTGTTCTAGCCAGTTTGGCTCAGTGGATAGAGTGTCGGCCTGTGGACTGAAAGGTCCCAGATTTGATACTGGTCAGGGCACCTGCCCGGGATTCGGGCTTGATCCCCAGTAGGGGGTGTGCAGGAGGCAGCCGATCCATGAGCCTCTCTCATCATTGATGACTCTCTCTCTCCTTTCCTCTCTGGAATCAATACAAATATATTTAAAAAACAAAAATAAAATGTAGCACGTTTTCCAAAGCGATGAAGTATAAAATAATCACACACACACACACTACAAGCCCCTTAAAGTTTGCTTCCTGGCTGGAGGGCTCAAGCTGGTCACATTCTCAGATTTGGTCAAGCAACGGGAATGCGTCCAAAAACAAGGCATTCTTTTATGAATGCCAGTTTGTTCTTAGAAGCTGTAGTTGACCAAGAGGATTGGGAAAGGAATATGAGGGATTTCAGACCGTGCTGAGTACTTATTTCATTAGCCAGCCTCATCGATGACCTTGGGGGGGGGTGGGGGGCGGGGTACAGTCTCCATCCGCTGACTGCAGGCTTCTATCTGCACGAAGCTTGGACATGATGCATCTATTCTCTAAATCCCCCCCGTTACCGAGGAAGGTGGTTTGGCCTGGTGGGCAGAGAGGTGGGCACTGGCGTCCACTGCGGAAGTTTCAATCTCTCAGCTCTGCCGCTGAAACCTGCGTGGGTTTCTCCCTCTGTGAAACGGGGGTGGTCGGAGCATCGCTGGCTCCGAGGGCTGTGATGGGGGGGGGGGGGGGGTCCACGAGCCGTGACCCACTCTGGACAATATCGGGGGACAGTACCGGGGCCACGCTCCCTGGCCTGCTTGTGCCAGCACCTAACACCCAGAAGAGAGGAAAAGCTGTTCAATCAAATTGCAACCGTAACCACGTTTTTTTTCCTTCTTTTTCAATAAATGTAGAAGAATCAAAAGAATTCCGAAAAGTACACGAGGCGCTGCCCGACAGCGTGGCTCAGTGGTTGAGCCGCGACCTATGACCCTGGAGGTCAAGGTTCAATCCCCGTCAGGCCGGGTTGTGGGCTCCATCCCCAGTGGGGGGCCTGCGGGAGGCAGCCGATCCACGATTCTCTCTCCTCATGGATGTTTCTCTCTCTCTCTCCCTCTCCCTTATGTTCTGAAATCAATTAAAATAAATAAGTAAAATAAAAATATCAGGAGCTCATTGGAATGCTTCCGGCAGCACCGCGGGCGCCTCCGAGGGGCCGGGTCCCTTCCAGGCTCCGGCGCCGCGTTCAGTTCCCGGTTCCCGGCTCCCAGGATGACACGGAAGGCGGAGAAGGCACCCCAAGGGCTCGGCTCTCTGACCACAAAAGCCGCCCCCAAGTTTCTTTAAAAATCAATGCTCGCGGCACGCGGGGCGGAGAACCGTGTCCCCCGGCTGGGAGAAGGGGGCGCGGCTCCCGGCCCCGCCCCGCCGAGCTCGGGGTGACAGGCTGGACCCCAGCGCCCCCGGAGCCGGCGGCCCGCTCTCCTTCCCGGGGTGCGGGTCGGCGGAGGCGGCGGCACCTGCCTCACCTGAAGAGCCGGTCGCGGCCCTGGGTCTGGTTGGTGAAGCGGGTGAAGGCCTCCATGGCGCCGGCCCGCGGCCACACGGAGCCCGGCCCGGCCGCGAGTCCTCGGGGCGCCGCGGGGCCCGCGGGAGGTCGGCCTCGGACGCCGGAGGGGCAGAGTCTCTCCGCCGGCGGGACCGGCGAAGCGCGACTTCTCAGCTTCCGGTCAGGACCGGAAGTTGTGGTTACTAAGGCGACGCCAAGCCGCCGGCCAGGTGAGCGGAAACCCCGGCTTCTGCTCTGCGGTGCAAGCGCTTCCCACGTGCCCTTGGGCTCCCATCACATCCTGGGTCTCCTCGAGGGGCTCCAAGGGGCCCGTCTCCTGATCTCAGGCTATTCCCGGCCCCCCAGGAACCCCAGGTAGGATCCGAATGGAGGTTCCCCTGAGCTTCCGCTTGGGGACCGCAGGGCTAAACATTCCCAGATCTGTGCCTCCGCGTCCCCGGAGCAACGCCAGCTCCAGCTCTGGGAAGCACAGGGTCAGAGCAGAGATGAGCCGGTTGGAGGAGTGTATTTCTAGCAGGAGGGCCGGGTCAAGGGGGAGAATTGTCTGTTAGGATTACTGAATGAAGACTGCTACCGGAGGAAATCCTAAAATGGTTACCACGAACAAAGTGGGGGCAAAAATAGATGACAACGAAATTGCACCAATGCACGGACCTCCTGTGGGGCTTGAAGACAAGGAACCCCAGCCATTCCAGAGCAATGTTTTAATTTTTGATTGATTGATTGATCTTAGAGAAAGAGAGAGAGGGGGAGAGAGAGCAACATGGACCTGTTGTTCCACCCATATATGCCTTTATTGGTTGACTCTTGTATGTGCCCTGATCAGGGATCAAGCCCACAACCTTGGAGTATCTGGATGACACTCTAACCAACTGCGCTACCTGGCCAGGGCCACAGCAGCAATTTTATAAAATGCCCCCCCCCCCCATAATTACAAGTTAAGGTCGCCTATTTTTTTAATCTTTAGTCCCTTGTTCAGACCTACCCCTAACACTTGCAGGCCCCCGGGAGTAGCAGTACAAATAGAGACCCACATACCATACATTTAAATATTTAAAAGTTTTAAATCAAAGTAACACATTGTTAAATATGTTCTGTTCTCTTCTCCTACCTTGACAAATATCTATATATATAAAAGCCTAAGTGACCGAATGACCAAATGACTGGCTGTCCGGTCGCTATGACGTGCACTGACCACCAGGGGGCAGATGCTCAACACACAGGATTGGGCTCCCTCCTGACCTGATCGGGCTTGTGGGGATTGGGCCGAAACCGATTCTCCGACATCCCCTGAGGGGTCCTGGATTTCGAGAGGGCGCAGGCCAGGCCGAGGGACTCCACCGGCGCACGAATCCGTGCACCGGGCCTCTAGTACTTTCGTAAATGATCTAGAAGTCATTTCACATTCAGAAATCTTGGGCTCTTTGGAATACCTGGAAACACAGCCAGAATATTGTACTCTGGGGAGAGCTGGCCCCAGGCCCTTCCCACTGCTTCTCTTCCCATTTCTGGCTCCCACCCACATCACCGAGTGTGTGGATACCCCAAACCACATCCAAGTTCTGCCCATACCCCTTCGATCAGCCATGCCTTGGTCACCTTTCAGGTCTAGGGGTGCACACATTAGCAGCTGGGGGAGAAAAGCCAGGAAGAGGCTCTTGCAGGTACCATTTGGGCAGTAAATTTCAGGGGTATAGGTGCCCTGAACATGGTCTAGACTTCAGGAGGAGGCATCTGGACTTTGGGGTGGTATATCCTCTCGGCCCCACAAATTTACCCCTTCTTGCACAGGGCAGTGCCTGGAACAGAGCCAGAAGTATTCAAGTTCATAACCCAGGGCAGGGCATTACCGCAAGAAAATAAGAATTTGCCGAATGCTGGCTATGTACCCACCACTGGAGCTCTGGGCCTCAGGTATTAGGTTACTGAGGGACACAAGTAAATAGCTAAGCACAACACACGTTCGACAGCAGTTACGGGAAGTGCTTGAAATGCCCTGGTCGGAGGGGAGGGGAGGAGAGGGAAGAGTCACTGCTCAGTACCCAGCTGGCTGGAGCACAGCCATTTGCAGAGATGGCAGAACCAGGAGAAGACATGGCGGGGGGGGCGGGGGGGGGCGGGGGGAAAGAAGGTGAATTCTCTTTGGCATAGAAAGACCGCCTCTCCTTTATCAGGAGGTGAAGAAACGCAACACGATTTCCAGAGTCCTGCATTTCCACCCTAGCACACCTCATCTTCGGCTGGCCTGCCTCTGCTGAGCGTATCTTAGTAATGTGATAACCATCCCGTAATAAACATGGGAAGTGCCAGTTTCTAGAATAAATAGGCCCCATAGACCAGGGGTCCTCAAACTACGGCCCGCGGGCCACATGCAAAAACAAACATTGTATTTGTTCCCGTTTTTTTTTTTTTTTCCGTTTTGTTTTTTTACTTCAAAATAAGATATGTGCAGTGTGCATAGGAATTTGTCCATAGTTTTTTTTTAAACTATAGTCCGGCCCTCCAACGGTCTGAGGGACAGTGAACTGGCCCCCTGTTTAAAAAGTTTGAGGACCCCTGCCATAGACTGTTATGCTTGTGCTAGAGATGATATACTGTTTGAACTTCACTATTTATTTTTAAATATATATATATATATTTTAAATATATTTTTATTGATTTTAGAGAGGAAGGGAGGAGGATAGAGACAAACATCAATGATGAGAATCATTGACCGGCTGCCCCCTACTGGGATCGAGCCCACAACCCAGGCATGTGCCCTTGACCGGAATCGAACCTGGGACCCTTCAGACCACAGGCCTACGCTCTACCCACTGAGCCAAACCAGCTAAATATATTTTGATTTCAGAGAGGAAGGAAGAGGGAGAGACATAGCAATGATGAGAGAGAATCATTGATCGGCTGCCTCCTGCACGCCCCCTACTGGACCCAGGCATGTGCCCTTGCCCGGAATTGAACCTGGGACCCTTCAGTCCGCAGGCCGACGCTCTAACCACTGAGCCAAACCGGCTAGGACTGAACTTGGCTTATTTTCTCTAATACCTTTACTTCCTCCCTTTAATCAGCTCCTCAGTCTCAGAGCCGTTCCCAGTGCCGCCTTCTGTGATGTCATTCCTCAACGGAAGCCGCGCCCAGAAGATGAGGCTGCCTTTGTTTACACAAAAGGGACAGCTGGAGGTGCCGACCCCGTCGGAGAAGGACTGGTCGAAGGATGATGAAGAGAGTTATGTCTTCAAGGATCCACACCAGGAGCTGGATTCCCTGCCTCAGCCGTATCGAATGATCAACAAGCTGGTGAACCTTCTGTTCGACCGGGCGTGGGAAATTATTGAGGAGAGGGACGCGCTGAGGGAGGTGGAGCTCAGCCGGGTCCGGCCCACCGTCTACCCTCCAGTTTTAGAAAGCAAGGTATGGAGAAGCTGACCAGGGGCCCCTCCCTGTTTCCCAGCTGAGTGTTAGTAAATCAAAACATGGCCTGGCTGGTGTGGCCCAGTGGTTGCACATCAACCTATGAACCAGGAGGTCACGGTTTGATTCCCGGTCAGGGCACACGCCTGGGTTGTGGGCCCGATCCCCGGTGTGGGGCGTGCAGGAGGCAGCCGATCAATGATTCTCTCATCATTGATGTTTCTCTCTCTCTCTCTCTCCCTCTCCCTTCCTCTCCATATCCTATATAATAAAGAGCTAATATGCTAACTAGACCAAACAGCAGGACGACCATCCGGACGACTGTCCAGACGACCTTCCGGATGAAGCCGGGGCTGTGAGGGCCTACCTTTGCACCAATTTCATGCATCAGGCCTCCAGTAAATAATAAATGAAAACACCTCATCCAGGGAAGGAATTCCTACCAGGAACCTTCATTCAATAAGACAGCTGCATTTTTATTTTTTTTTAAAGATTCTAGGCATGCCGGTGTTGCCTGGAATGGATTTGGTCCGTGTCTGTGGAAACGGGGGTTCTGGCTAATGGAGGATGACACAGCAGGTCTTTTATGTCCAGCCGCCGTTATTTTGATATCTTTCTGAATGTAGTCATCACTCTCTTGCTTGATGGGTGAGAATCTGCCAGCGCCTCAGCGATAGCTCTTCCCACAGTGTTTTCTGGTTTTGTTTAATATATATTTTTATTGCCGAAACCGGTTTGGCTCAGTGGATAGAGCGTCGGCCTGCGGACTGAAAGGTCCCAGGTTCGATTCCGGTCAAGGGCATGTACCTGGGTTGCGGGCCCATCCCCAGTGGGGGATGTGCAGGAGGCGGCTGATCGATGTTTCTCTCCCATCGATGTTTCTGACTCTCTATCCCTCTCCCTTCCTCTCTGTAAAAAATCAATAAAAAATATATTTAAAAAAATATATATATATATTTTTATTGATTTCAGAGAGGAAGGAAGAGGGAGAGACAGAGAGAGACATCAATGGTGAGAGAGAATCATGGATCGCTGCCTCCTGCACGCCCCACACTGGGGATCGAGCCGGCAACCCGGGCCTGTGCCCTGACTGGGAATCGAACCGTGACCTCCTGGTTCATAGGTCGACGCTCAACCACTGAGCCACACTGGTCGGGCCACAATGTTACAGATGAATGTGGTACAGGGTCTGTGGCCACACACAGTGTAGTGACTAAACATTTACTCTCCACTTCTTTGTTTTCTCTGGCCCCGCTCCCCTAAAAGTGGAGTGCTATGACTTCCTCTCATTTTCCTTTTTTTTTTGTGTGTTCATCCTCACCCGGGGATATTTTCCCATTTATTTTTAGGGAGAGTGGAAGAGAGAGGGAGAGACAGAGAAACATCGATGGGAGAGAAACACATCGATTGGTTGCCTCCTGCCCTAGCCCCAACCAGGGCCCAGGCCGGGGAGGAGCCTGTAACCAAGGTACGTGCCCTTGACTGGAATTGGATCCTTCGGTCCGCAGGCCAACGCTCTATCCACTGAGCCAAACCGGCTAGGGCGGCTATGACTCCTTGATACGTGGGCACAATATGGAAATGAGCCCTGTGTTTGGGGAGGATATTCTATCTAGGAAGGGCCCACATCCCTCTTTGAAATGTGAACATGATGCTTGCAGACAGTGGCAGCTGAAAAATCCTTTTTTTTCCCCTCTCTCTCTTTGTTCTTTGTTCTCCCAGCTCAGCAAAA